CAGGAGTCATGTGGAAGGGAATAAAAAGCCAGGAGAAAATTAGGAAGAGTTAGGACTCGAGGCAGAAAATTTAATCAGCCATCTTTTGATATCCGAAACACGTAGCAGACAAAAATGTAATTCCGTATTATTCAGAACTATCCTGCAGGATACCAGGTAATCCCAGCTGAAGCCTTTTGATTTATCTAATAAGTTTGCAGGCAAAGTACTGGTTAACTCATCCTTTAAAGAATGAAAACCCAATGTACTAACTGGTTACGGTTGTCTTTTAAAAGTCTGCTGGCTTGGCTCCCGTTCCTTCCTTCCAGTTTGATTGTCGGTTGCCTTTGATTTGAGGTCGTAACATTAGCTCAGCATTTGTTACCTCCTCCTGCTTCCGTTTTCCACAACAATTTGCGCTAACGATGTCCGTGAGCAATAAAAGAAAAATGTTTGCCTCACACGTGTCTGCAGTGATCCATAACGTTTGGTTGTGTTTGACTTTCGGTTCGGGTTTATATTTCACTCAAATGTCGCTGCAGGCTTTTCATTCTCGATTCCCTTTTACTTCTGATGATTTATACATTTTTGGGGTATTTTTCCTATTGCATTATGAACCAACCCGTTGGTTATAATACATGTTAAGCCCGATGAACGTTGTCCGGATGTGAGCTGTAGTAAAACCAGTTTGACATAATCATTGCAACTGCAGGCAGGAGTTCCTTGACTCTGTTCCTCTGAGCGACTCCTGTCAATTACCCTCGGATGACAGCAGTCTTCTTCTGGCTCTCAGGCTGCCGTTGCTTGTTATGGCCCCTCCGCCTGCTTGGGAAAACCAGCAAGGCTTTTTTTCTGTTTATTTTCCTTTTTTGGGGTGGAAGTCTGTCTAACTGTCTCTGTTGATTGTGTGTTATTTTAGTTGCGCCCGATGTTGTTGCTGCTGTTGCGGGCGATGTCTGTCTTGTTATTGGATTTAACGAAGTGCACTGCATAACGCGCATACGCCATGTGCGCCCATTCCCAGGCAATATTATTGTAAAGTCAGGCATTTCACATTTTAAAGGTTGTGTGCCAGTCAGATTTTAAAGAGTTTCTTGCCGTGAAATCAAGTAAACAAAAAAGTATTCTAGTTTGTCTTCTGTTAAAAATATATCCCCTTTAAGAATACGACGAATATTAAACGTATTTCCAGACAGCAATTTCAGGAATGAAACAATCTAGAATCACGCCCTCAGGTATCCCTCTTCCTCCGCTCACCGCCTGCCGAGTTTCCTTTAACAACCACACATCACGCATACGCCCAGTTATCCATTTTCAGGACGTTCGCCGTCTGCTTTCAGCTGGCTGCTCTTCACAGCTTGATGCATTCCCGTGCGGTTTGGTTTGGTTTTCTTTCTGCTATTGCGACACAAAGTTGCTGCTGCCGGCTGCTGCACACACGAATAGTACATCCAACTGTGCCGCACCACTGAAATGTGTGCTATTCAGCCAGCACTCGTCATCATCTCCTCTATCATCGGGGTCCCCTCCGCCGAATGAAGAGGGAAAACATTGTCACGTGGTTTTTGTATTTAGTTGTGCCCTCCTGCTGCTTCTACCTATCGCCGCAGCAACTCCGGCAGCTTTTTCTTTGCGGTGACTGCAACCACTCCTCCAACTTCCCATTCACCGACAGCCACACACATTCACATTCACACCAGTGCAATAAATTCGCCCGCCCGAGTAACGGCTTCTGTGCCATTGTGGAGAGGCTTTCCATTGTGGTACAAGCACACAGATAGACAACTCGCCTCGGTTGCCAGTCGTTTGACTGTGTGGGTGTAGTTATCCTGCATTGTTTGCCTTGTGTTGCCTCGCTGTCTTTGTTGTGCAGGGAAATTGAAATAAATGTATGTGTAAATGCGTCAAAATTAAGTTTATTTCTTTTTCGCTGTTGCTTTTTAAATGTCTTTGCCAGTGACAAGTGTCAATTAGAAAAAAGTTCAATTACATTAAGCCGAGGAGGGAGCCAGCAGCGGCACAGCTACAACAAGTAGCAGCATTGTTATAGGCCCTGCCCTCAAGGAATATCCAGAGAGTCATTGTCAGTGTCGGTGTTTGTGCTGTTGTTGTTTCGTTTGTGCTTTTGTGCCGGAGACAAAGCCGTCCCAGAGATGTGTGCGAGTATGCGAGTGTAATTGGGATAAGTCGGGCGTAGTTTTGAGCACATACTGAACGCAAACAACTGGGATACGAAGTAACATCAATCCCCGGATTGTCAATAAATATTTTGTGGAATGCTTTCTCAAGATAAGAAATTTGTAGAGTTTTAATTTAATTAAAATATATGAAGCGTTGCTGAGGCTTTTAATGTAAACTAGTTAAAGCTTTAAACAGATGAAATTTATACGGCTAGTAAGGAGTAAATAATGTTTTTGCTTACTTAAGTGCCTCAGACAAACCTAATTAGTGTTCTGACATGAGCTGCAATTCCAGCTCGCATTGTGAATTGCCTATTCTTATCCTTTCAACAGCACTTCTGTCCTGTTCACATGAAATTTTACCCACCGCAACAATTGACAAGGCCCATTAACTGAGCAGTTTCCAACTGTTTTGCACAACTAATTTGGCCCATTTAACCCCCGAATCCTAATCAAATGTGCTTTAAACTTTGACAGGGTTCTGTGACGACACACGTCGTGTCAGGACCAATCTGCTAATGAAATAAAATATTAATTAAGAAACTCCAGACAGCAGACACCGGCTAAGATAGTGGGGATAGTAGTGGCGAGCCTGGCCAGAATATCGTTTCATCAGAGGGCACTTGGAGCTGTCGTTTGGGTAATTGTAATGTTTGGCATGCCATTAAGCAAATGATGAATGAATCATTCAGTACGGACGAGATGCGGCTGAACGCCAGACACAGACACAGACAAGTTGTCACAGCGCCAACTTGAGTCGCCCGAGTGCCCAACATGGCGTATGCGCAATAATTTAGCGTGGAGCAAACAATTCTCTCGGAGAGGCGACGTGTCCAGGCCGCAGACAGCGGACACTCTCCGGCGTTTATAATTTGATCATTATTTATATTTAAATAGGTCCCTCCCCCACGCACCTAAAACACATCTGTTCGCTGCTTTTTCTGTGCTTTTGCTTTGTTGTTTGCTGGCCTGGCTAACAACAAATTGAAGGGAAATGATTCCATTTCATGCTAGATTAAACATGTGTCCACATAATTTATCGATTATTTATCATGTGGTCTGCTACGGGTGCGCTCCGTGTGGCCGAAGTGAAGTGAAGCCGTAGGCCCCAGGCCACCATCATGTCCCTGCGTCTGTGGGAGGGCCTGTGTGTGCTAAGCCGGGGGAGGGCCTCCCCCTTGCATAGGCCTTTTGCGGCCACATTGCGCACACAAGTGCAATATTAGAAACAAAAGCTGTGCCAAAGGCGTTTACCCTCTGCAGGAGCAAGTGAAGTTCGATGTCGATGTCGATGTCAGGGGTCCGTTGCCATGCCTTTGCCATTCGAGCCACTTGTCGCTCCAATCCGCCCAAATACCCTAGGGATGTGCCGGAGTATGATGGCCACAGAAGTCACAGGCAACTCATTCGCCCCGGCCCTTTATAGGGAGAAGTGACATATCTAAAACATACCAGGAATTGGGTCAATGCATCCATTACAATAATGTGTATTTTAGGGAAGGGACCCCAAGGAATATCTGTCTGCTCAGGGTTTGGCTGTGCAACTGAAAGTAGGTTACAAAAACAGAGATTTGCAATACTATTTAATCATGTATAAAGAGTGGATCAACTTGCTTAGCGATATCTCAACGTATAATTATCTAGGGTCTGCTGAAATAATAATTGCACAGAAATTTTAAAATATTTCCTTAGTTCTTCTGGTTGATTATTGCCTGGCTTTATTTTCAAGGATAACAGAGAAATATTTCATTAGGGTAATTGAAACTTCGTTCACTTACAGCCCCTTTTGATTTTTTCCCAGGCTCTTTTTACTCGCCAGACGCATTTGCCATTGCATTTTTACCGCATAAACACACAATCGGACTCACATACGCACACACACACAAGGCCCGTGGACAGCATAACACGAAAATGGCGGCCATTTTGTAATCCGCATGTGGCTGGGTAATCACCCCTAAGCTCCGCTTTGCCACTATCCCATCGCCGCAATCCCCCTTCTCACACGTGCGGCGGCTTTTGCCGGGTTTGCCGTAATGTTTTTTTTTTTTTGCTTTGTTTTGCGGCATTATGTGGTCGCTTGTCGCTGCATTTCCCAGCTATATCTATTTTTCCATCGCCATCCCATCGCCCTTGCCCGGTATCTCCATCTCCGCATGAATGTTGTGATTTTGTTTTGCGATTTTCGGCTATTTTTGGTTTTCATTTCGCGTTCCGCAGATCGATCGATATTTTAAAGCTTAGTCAAATGGTGCGAATTCAGTGAGGATTGGTTAGGATTTGGCTAATGATCAGGAGATGCAGATGCTTAGGAATTGGAAATGAATTTAGTTTTGAGCCAAAGTTTACCTTTTAACTCCAGAACTTTCCAATCACTCAGATCTGCAAAAATAAAAAATAATCATTTTCAATTAAGCTAGTTTTCATACTGCCTATAAACATGTTTTCTTTAATTAAAAAAGTGCCTGAAAAAGTATTCCCCTCTCTACCATTTCGACAAAAAGTGGCCAAATGAATCACTTGATAAATTGCTTGAATTGCTGCCAGCAAATATGAAATATTTTCGTAGTGGTTGGCACAAACAACTTTATCGAAATGAGTGCAACTTCATAATGCTCCTTTGCTTCTTCTACGCGCGTGTGTGTCTGCTCTGCAATTGTTGAACACTTTTTGACAAATTGTTGCCGCAGCCACTTTTAAATCAATTTGCCAGCTAAATTGACTTCCATTCCTGGCCAAGAGATTTTGCCAGCTCACCGGATATCTTAAAAAATAAGAAACTCACAAACTTTCCGCTGCTCCTACACCGTTCTCATATTTTTCGCTCTCAATCTCTGCTTTCAGATGGCGAAATCCTGCGCGTGCTGGTGAACAGTTCGGCCGAAATCAAATGCGATGTGGGCTCCAGCCTGCCCGACGACAAAGTCCTGCTGGTCGTTTGGTACAAGAATAATTTACCCATTTACAGGTAGGTCAATCTGCGCCCTACGAGCGCCTGTATCGGCATCCGCATCCGTATCTGTATCTCAATCCCTTTGACAGCTACGACACACGTGGCGCCCACGCAGGGACCCCGTCGCATTGGCGGGACGAGGAGGTCCTCGAGGATCGGGCCATCTTCCGGACGCACAAGGAGCCGGCGGAATTGCTTATAAATCCGGTTAAGGTAACGTTTACCCTCCATCCACATCCGCGTCCGCATCGGAATCGCGAGTGTCAACATCGCAGCGCTTTATAATTGGAATTTCATTTCATTTTCAGGAAAAGGATGCGGGCAACTTTCGCTGTCGCGTGGACTTTAAGCTATCGCAGACCCGCAACAGCAACGTCAATTTGGAAGTTGTTGGTGCGTATACCCAGAACAGACTGACTGATGTCAGGGATTCAATCAATTTTGGTAGCCCTTTACTGGCATAAATATTTTATAAAATCGAACGTTTTAATTAATTTCAAGCAACACACACTTTCCTTGAAATGGTTGCTATAAATAATTTTGATGAATGGGTTTGATTTATTTTTATATTAAAAGGTTTTTAGGCCTTAGCTAAATTTACTAATAATAAAAATGTATTTTCTGATGTTTTCAAAAATGTAAAATCGGTGAAACCCAAAGCATTAAAAACTCTGTTAAAGTCAGTATCGTTTCTGTTTGTCCTGCTAAAATCTGAATTTAAAATTTTTCACTTCAATCAGTTTGAAAAACGGAGAGAAAGACAACATATATATTCATTGTACGCAAATATGTAGCTATAAAATCAACATTCGCATAAATAAATAAATACGGCCAGCCAGAAACGATTATAAAAGCAATTAATATTTGTTTCGTCCGCACACACAGGCCCGAACGAGTCAAACATAAATTAGCTGAAATGATTTCTCGGTTAGCCGCAAAACTTACAATTTATTATGCGAGGGATGTATACCTTTGGCATTGCTTTTGACAATGCCAAATTGATTCTGATTTGCGGCTGTCGAAAATCATGGCAAGCGATCAGGATATTCATGAATTTAACAGATAACTTAACTTAATAAAGTCCGCTCTACCTTTTCAACTTCACAGTTCCGCCCATGCAGCCGAATATCTTCAACGAGCGCCGACAGCGAATCGATTCCAGGGCAGGTCCTTACGAAGAGGGAGGCAGCCTGGAAGTCACCTGCGTTGTCTATGGCGGTAAGTCACGGAAATGCTAATCAAAAGTTACCGAATTCAATACGCGGCAGTGGACTTCCACTGGAATAAAACATTAATTGTGGGCCCTATAAAATGCAATCAATAATTAAACTTTACAAGTGGCTGTATAACCATAAAAGAATCCAGCACGAACGCAATCAGAAATAAAAAGTACGCTATTGAGAGGGCAGAGAAGGAGTAACTAAGCCTTGTTGGCATGCAAACAAAGGGCCAGAGTATAAACAACAAACAATAAATAAGGTGGAGAACTGTAAAGTAAAGTTCAATTCCAAAGAAAGCGAAACAGAAGCCAATTGTGGGGGAAAAGGATGGGGGAATCGTGCCAAGTTAATTTCGAAAATGTGTCGCCTTAACAAAAGGATTAAAAACGCTCGAGAGCAAGGAGAAGTCAAGTAGGAAATAAAGGGAAAGGCCAGAGAATCCGGGAGCAGCCTGCAGGTTTTGTTATCGATGACTTCCAGAGCGAAAAGTTGACATTGGATACACAGGAAATAAAAGTAGGTATTACAGTAAATTAAACTGTTTAATTTTATTTTTATAAGGATAGATGATATGCAAGCTGTTAATTGAATTTGGGATAACTTAAGATTGTTTTTAATTTCTATTTATAGTAAAAAAAGGATATAATACATATATTCAGACCCTTCTCTTTATCTCTCTGCACACACAACCCTTAAGTCAATTGCTGTTAATGAAAACCAAAATAAGAACTGTTCGTGCGAATAAAGGAGACTGCAAGAGGACCGAGGACAATCCTGAATCGAGAGTGGAAACGGGTCGTATTTTCCTCTCAAAAGCCGTCACAGTGGCGGACATAAGTATGTCAGCTGGCAACAACAGTGGCGTTCGCGTTCGCATTCGCATTCGCTTTCGCTGTCGCGTGCTTTATCGCTGTGGAGTCCCCTTTGTTTCTGGGTCTGGGCGGAAGCGAAACCACTTTGAATGGTTTGACATGTCAACGTTGACATAAAATAAATCACCAAGCCAGCAAACTGCACTTGAAGCTGCTCCGGCAACTGTTAACTGGTCAGTAGTTTTCTGGGAGGAGCGCGCAGGGAAAAAAGAAAATCACCAGAATTGGGCACTCAAAATGTTGTATGTGCCAATTAAATGGGGGCAAGGAAAATGTTGCCAATGTACAAATGTGAATACATACGAGCTCTGGATGGCGGGACGAGGCTGTGGGAGGGAGTGGTAGTGACCAAGTTGTTGACAAGGGAAAAGGAAGTCAGTTGATGTTGGCAAATGAGCGGGGCGGCGGAGGCAAGCAATTGGAGTAGTTGAAACTTGTCCAAAAACGAGGGGGAGAAAGTGAATTGGGTTTATGTATGACTCTCTGGGTGTACATGTGTGTGTGTGTGTGTGTGTGTGTGTGGTCAGTCTCGTTGACAGTTAAAAGGAACAAATTGATCCTAGCTGTAAGGAAAATTGCTACACTTTGGGAAAACACGGACAAATATTGAAAATAATAAAATAAAATAGTGGAAAATGATTATTTTTGTAAAATGTATTTACTTATTAACATTTTGATTAATATATTTTGTATTATTTTTAGATTTCAGTTTAAGCTTAAAAAGTCAGCAAATAGGTTTCTGTTTGTTTTTACCTTGGTAATATGTTCTTGGAACATTGTAAAATTTGTAAATTTTATATGTGCCGGGAATTACTTTTGTCTTTTAGGAGGGAAGGACCTTCGGCGAACCACTGAACATCCCTTTTATGGTGCAATGGCTCCTGGTAATGGTGTGAAATTGAAAATGCTAGCCTGGTTGTTCTGCCCTGCTGAAATCTTAAACAGCGGGCGGAAATAAATTGCAGGCAAATGCTGACATTATGCTCAGCCCGGCACCATCTCCACCACCATCTCCATCTCCGGGTCCGTCTTCGCCTCCATTGCCATTTCCATTTCCATTCTTAGCTGCTTTTGGCTGGGCCATGGTGTGGTCAGGTCTTTGGCATTCAACATGCAATGTCCATTACAGAAATTGCAATCCTGTGGCCAAAACAAAAAGCCAGGAGGGAGGCGAGTCTAAGAGCATAAAGTGCTGAAAAAGTTGCCACTTAAACAAGTGCAATCAGCAGAAGTAAGTCAAAAGCGGCAGGCGATGAGGAAGGAGGACGTACCGCTCCGGGATGGGGATGGCCGAAATACGGGGAACAAGGCGGAGCCAGTTTCGGCTTAAGAGTGTGCGAAATCGACAAAGGAGCAGTAAATTTTATTGCAGCCTAGGAGGCCCACAATTGCAAATGAGCGCGACACGCCAGCCCCGAAAAGGGCCGGCGAAACGGGGAGCGAAATGAAGTTATAAACCAGCACAGTCTGTGTGGGTTGTAAAAATTACCAATCTACCCCCAGTTGCCCCGTCTTCGAGCCAAGTCTGCCAAATCATAAAGAATATACATTGGAACTGGGGGCAGCCATTGTGCGCTGGCACTTGCCGAGCAGAGGGAAAACCGGGGGAAAACTCTGGGTTTATGTGGCCACTAATGCATAATATTCAACGTTGCCTTCTTTGGCACGCCATGAATTTTACACACGGTGGTCTTTGTCCCCATCCTTCCCTGACTTCAGTTTCCCTTCCCCTCTTTTGCCATCCCGCCAGAAACTCTCCGGAGCATATAGTACGATGAAGGCGGCCAAGACGCAGGGGAAACTGAAATAGTAGGGGCATTTTAATACCCCTTTTCTTAATATATTTTTTTTAATTTCAGTTGTTATTACGATTTATTATTATTTATATTGTAAAACTTTTATATTGTTCCGACTTATCTTCTCTCTACGTAGTCTCTCCAGGTTATCCTCGTACCTCCATGATCATGCACGGTCGATAACAATATCGACTGCACAGTTTCCTATCGATATTCACATTCGATAGTTTCTTAGTGTTACCTTATGTTTGGCTTATTATGTTTTATTTACAATATATTGGTTTTATTTGTAGGTCCAATAGAATTGAACCTTTATTATTGCAGAAATATTGTCAGAAAGACTGTAGGTCAAGTTAAAAATGTTCCTAAAACAAACTTTATAACTTCATAAATATAACTTAATATAATTAATTTGACACACTTAACAATATTCCATACCACCCTTAATTCTCTAGTGATGCCCAGCATAATAAAAGTGTGCCAGAAATGGTTTCTACCCTTAGCATTTTTTTTCTCTCGGTGTGTCAAACGGAAGTGCAGGCGTTTTCCGCTTTGGCCAAAGTGAGCGTTGCCCATATTGTTATTGTGTTCACCATTGTTGTTGCTGTAGGCAGGTTGGCCACTACAAAATAGTGTGCATTTTTATAAAATTTTCTTTCTTTTTGTTATTATTATTATTACTATTACTATTACTGCTACTGTTGTTGTGTTCTTGTGGCACATTTCGGAGCACGGAAGTGCAGCAATACGGGCCTTGCAACAACGCGAAAATAGAAACAGCAAAATGTGGGAAAAAAGCGAGGGAGATGGAGACAACTTGGTTTTTAGTTTTACTAGCTTAAGCTTTAGTTTTGACCTTAAAATTTCAAATGGTTCGAAAGACAGTAAATTTATTAATGGGATATATTTATTTCTACACTGATAAAAAAAAATCGATGTTTTAGATTTTGTGCATTCTTAAAATAAAATCTTGATATAAGACCAAAAAATCTAGAAAGGAATTTTTCAGGTTTTATTTAAGAACAAAAATTTTAAAAGAAGACCAAAATATGCTTACGCGACTTTCGTGACCGAAAAATCACGTTTTTAAGACCAAAATTCTTGAACTTTTTTATCAGTGTATATAAAATAGGTTCTTAGTTTTTTAAAGAGGTACATTAAATATCATAAGAACAACAGAGTGCAACTGTATTTGTTAGACTTTAAAGGGACCCCCAAAGTCAGCAAGCTTAAAATTTATTTTACAGCTTCCTCGCTGGACAAAAGGTCAAATGGCAAAGAGCAGACAAAGGGGAAACTGGGCGGGGGGATAGAGAGAATGCGAACTGAATAAACAGAAAGTGTAGGAAAGACAACAACATAAAATATATTTATGTGGCATGGCAGAGTTTCCTCCTTTTACTTTTTCTTTTTCTACTTTTTTTGTGCTACTATCAAGAGTCCTAAATTTTTGTTGTTGGTGCTTCTATTTCTTGAGTGCTTTGTTTGCAAAGACCCAACCCCTCCCCGCCATCCCATTTTCGGGGAGTGTATCTGTTTCACCCGAGACAAATCCAAAGCAGATGCAGGAGATGCAAAAGATATGCAAAACTAAACAAGCAAATATTTCAGCATTGCATAACTGAGCCGCTCTCGCTCCAACCCTTCTCGTTGGATTCTTTGCACGGCAAAAAAAAGCGAGTAGAAGTTAAAGTTCTTTTGTAATGTAAATAGAATAAATAATATATAAGGTAACACTAAGAAACTATCGATAAGAAACTGGGCACTCGATATTGATATCGACCGTGCATGATTGAAGAGGTGGATCACTACCTGGATAGACTCCCTAGAGAGAAGACGTAAAGAAAGAACCTTGTGAAACTAACCTAGAGATTAATTATTAAGATGAATTAAAAAGGACTTTAAACCTTTTGACGCCAATATGTAATTTTTTAATTTTTATTTTTAAGTATAATTGCATTCAGCATCGAATATCGTTTAAAATCCATTTAAATATTATGAATCAAGGATAATTTTGAGAGAGATAATAACGGAATTCTATAATAAATGAAATACAAATTTAAGTAAATAAAACTATACTATTTCTCCTGTGTAATGCTTAATAATGAGAGTAAACAGAACAATAGGCAACCAGAAAGAGAGACTCTCTGCGCCCTGGTAACGTGTGTGCAAAAGTGCATAAGTGAGTCGGACTTGGCAGGCAGCGGCTTTAAGTCTTCGCCGAAAGGAAACGCTAAAAACTGGCACGCATTTGAATGCTGCTGCTCATTAGGAAGTGGGTGGAGCCACCTGGCGAACGTGAACGTGGTGGGTGCCAGGTGGACATGGCAAAGAAATGCTAATGTCGCTTTTGCTGCTGCTTTTCAGCTGCCTGGCACAAAAACCCGTTTTTTGATGCTTGCACTAAAAATGGCAAAGCACTTGGCAAAAAAGTAAAAAGAAATAAAAGAGAGGAGCCTGCTTTTTGGGGACGAAAGCCAACATACTCTTCAAAACGGATGGGTTCTATGGAAAATTGTAGCTACAATAGTATTTTATATTTTATAAAGTAATACCAAAGAAAAAATAAACATTTCGGCCTGAAAATACTACGACATAAGCACAAAAAAAAAAAGAGAAAATGAAAGTGGGTATTCCTAAAATTTGATTTTCTCGACATCAAAAGGACAAAGACCATATAAATTTCCTGTAAAATATTTCTCCTTAATTATAACTATAAAAATTAGTAGTAAACTTAATTTTTCTGATAACACTTAAATGGCTTTTCTTGTGAGTGTATAAAAATGCAGCTTAGAAGAAAGAAAAGCTGAAAGCAAAAAAACTAGTGCAAACTTTGAGTGCGTTTGTGTAGAGAGTAAAGGCAAGTCAGCTGTGTTTGTGTGGCTGTGGCACCTTATGTTGACATTAAAAAACAGCAGATACCACACAAGCCTTGGCAGGAAACTTTGTGAGGGCTTTAAACTGAAGCAAGAGTCTCTGAAGTTTTTTGCAAAAAGAAAACTCCTGCTTTAAGTGTTTCGAAAAAAACCACAACTGCATTGCCAAATCAAACTTTTCGTTCCGCTCTTCTGTGGCGTTCAAAGTGCCTTTTTTCCTTTTTATTTTTCATTGTATTCCTGGTGGAGGAAGGCCAATAAATCACTGGAAACCATTAAGCCTTGCTACACATGCGCTAATCTACTCTGGCACAAACACACTCAGACACTAACCCACACAGAGACACTCGAACGTACACAGGCACAGTATGTGAAATATTTTCATAAACAACATAAAACTCGACCAAATGGCAGTTATTAATCAAAGTAATGTGCGTTCACCTCTCCGCATATCCTGCTCCGTGCATACACATGTATGAAAATCCATATGTGTGTCCGTGTCACACATTTTTCAAACATATCAAGTGCAGTTTTCGGCCCATCCGTGGCTTAGTTTTAGTGAATTTCCAGGTGGATTTAATGGCACTTGTTCAGTCGCATTGCTTTTTATGGCTGCTCATCAAGCATTTTGCGTAATAACTACGTAATAATAGAAAAATATACAAGCATGTCGCTGAATTTATTTGTGTCAGCGCCCCACACTGGCAGAAAAGTGTGGGGGCACTTTTGAGATAAAAACAGAATATGGAAATATGTGGACAATTTAAGCCAGAGAGATGCTCACCAGTCAGGCCTTCACCTCTAATCAGTTTATTTCCATTTAATATTTCAGTTATTTCTCAGTGTATTATTTGCCTTCCCTTGAATGAGTGACCGACCACCCGTTGCTATTAAATTAATGTGCGCTCATATACGCACACAAAAGCTAATTTCAGCGCTTGATTAAGTTGAAGTCGTTAAAAGCGGCCAAGTGCCACACGCTGCGTATGAGTAATGTGGCTGTGCGTTTGTGGGCCGGCTTAAGTGGACCGCACTCCGCGGCGATTGCACCACGCGGTGGCCAGTTAACAAGCTCCACCAGCTAACCAAATTAGGGGTTCTAAGGATAGACTATAACAGGCACTTTATTCAAAGTAATGGATAATTTCGGTAATAACGAGTCGAGTCAATCTTGAAGGCTGCTCCCTTGGAAAGTAGTCAATATTTTGTCATTTTAATGATTAACACAAACTAATGACAAATGCTGGGTTAAGAGTACTTTTACTTGGGGAGCATTGAACTAGGTTTACTTTTGACTTTTATTGAAATAACAAAAGATTTAACAATCTTAGCTTTGTTTTAAAATCTTTCAGAAACCACTTTAATTATAATGAAAATTCTTTTTTTATTCACCTTGCAGGCTCTCCGCCGCCGACTGTCACCTGGCTGATGAATGGGCAGCTGCAGAACAGCGTTGTCGATTACACCTACGACGGCACCATCAACAGCAAGCTGGTAGTTCGCAACCTGTCACGCATTCACCAGCATGCGGTCTACACCTGCCAGGCGAGCAACTTCCACAAGAAATACGTGGCCACCAACATAACCATTGAGCTATACCGTGAGTATAAAAATACACACAAACTGAAAGCAGAACGAGGTATTCGTATACATTATCCCAGCAGACAAAAACGTTCGTTTATGATATTGAAAACGATAATTAGTCGTGGGTTTTGTGGCAGAAAATGCTATAGTTTTCGGAATCCGAATAAGATTTCGATTGCGGACCTTTTACGCGATTCTTATCGGGTATAATCCTAGGAATTCGCGATACTTGTCCGCCATTCGTCCGTTTGTGCATCCGTTTTTAGCGAAACTAATGCGGAAAGTCCGATTCTTTATCCGTTTTTAATATTTTATAAGCGGACAATTTTCGGATTCATCCGCACTATGTCCGCTTTTTGTCTGCTGGGATGCTTTTTAAAAGTACAAAGTCAACTTTAAAGTCTATGAAAAAGTAAACTCCCATAAAGAAAATAATATATGTATTTTTAAAGCAAGCCTAGAGATTACTAAGTTTTGTCGATTTTTAATTGGAAAATTGTGAGCCTTGGTTTTATCTCAATGTTAGGAAACCTACATTTCGGTTTTCAGTTTCATTAAATGTCCTTTTATAATAAATTGAAATTTGAAGCGAGCTTAAACGACCCAAATATGGTGCTAAAAGCGTTTTGCCAAACAATTTATTTATTTATTGTATTTATTTCACTTTTTCTGATTCTGATTGTGCGGTCTTGCTTTTGTTGTTCGGTTTTAAGCGTTGCGATAAAAGTTTTAACAAATAGCTGCGCAGATAAAAACCATCCAGGCACCCGGCAAGAAAAAGAAAAAAAGGCTGGGCGGCAAAAAATAGATAATAAAATGGCTTATGCAAATATAACAAAATGCAAACGACCGGGGCAACAGCAACATTGCATGCGATATCCAAACACGAAAAAAGTATAATATATACCCAGAAATTCCTGTGCGTAACTTAACCCACCTACCATGGCATAGCCATGACCTGGTACATATTGTATCGAACTATTTCGCTCTTTGTGGACGTATAGAAGTTGCGTCCAGGTTAGTGGAGTGTGCATGACCCCAATGGATTTATTATTATTTTGTGAGAATTTTTTAAATGCCTCTTTTTCAACACTCGGCACGGGCAGGGGCAGTGGCAATGCAAATTGTTAAATTGAATTAAATTGTTGCCAATTTCGTGTGTGCCTCACTGCGAGTGTGAGTGGTTAAGAGATTTGTGCTTGGGCAAGCAGTTTCCAGCAAGTTTATTTGTCCTGGCAAAAATTAAAATGGGTTGAGAGTTGCAAATTGAGGGAGTGAATGGAGGGCAAATTAATAGAGATAGACAGATAGACAGAGTTTGCTCTTCATTTGAATAATTTGTATAGTAACTATTTATCTATTAGAATCGAAATGGAATTTTATGATATTCCCCTGCTAACTCTCAGCTCAATTCTTCCCTGAAAAGTATCAACTTTCCTAAGAAATCAGGTACCAGAATTTTCTTGAAGTTCAGGCCGCGTCTCTCCGCATTCTCGGAACATTGCCGCATTATATTTTGTGTTTTGTCTGGTTATTAGGCCCATGGCATTGCGCTAAGAGCCAAAGATTGGCCATTGAATTTTATGGCACTTTGGCGCGTCTGTCATGGCTCTCAAAACGCCAAAGCAATTGGACGTCAATTCCTACTTAGGCTCCCAGTACCCCAAAAATAATGTAAAAATGTTCCAGCGACAGCAGCTGGTGGATGCGCATATTTGATATTATTGCTCCGAGTTCGGGCACGGGGAATATGTCGCACTGGCGAAGACATAAAAGTTAACACGCCAATAAGGAATGCCCTGGATGAGGCGGCGGAATGTCGCTAACTTGGTCAATTAATGTGGCCACAGTTTTCGTAATATGTTTAGCAAATGACCTTGAAATGCAGAGGTGGTGGGCCTAACCAGGTTTTGCCACTCAGTGCTTACAGAGTGCTCCGATGTTTTTTGTGTGTAGGCTCGCGTGTAATGACAGAACGGGCGACCGGGAAACAGGGCAGTTGAATAATAAGTACGACCTTAATTAGTTAATTTTATGGCCACTAACAATTAGATTACGCCCGGCACGACACCCACTCCCGCCCGAGCAACAACAATTATGAGTGCTGCTCATTAGCACACAATTCAAGTTCCCAAAAGGGCTGGCCGAAGCCGAAGTGCAGCCTTTAATTGAATTAAAATTTTCCCCATGCATCAGTTGGCATGCAAGTCAAATGGAGATTTCCCCGGTGGCTGTTTTCCTTTACTTAAATCTGCATTGCATTCGAGAGACAAGAAACATTTATTTTTCGCCACTAGAAGTGTATGTTTTTCAAGACTTAAACCAAACCATAAATTAATAGATTTTCTGGAGTAATTTACCGCAGCTCGGCACGATTTCAGGCCCTGGTCTTCTATGTTCACCTGGTTAGTGCGTTAAATTAAACATTTAAATGATTTTTCAATGCAAATGTGCATAATTAATTTAATTACAGTAAAGCGCTGCTGTTGAAGCAGCTGCAAGAACAACAACCCTATTGAAACCTATAAAAACAATAAAAAGTGGAATAATATTGTAATATATGCAGCAGAACACGAAAAAAAAAGGCATTGATATAAAAAAAATAGATTGTTGCACTACACCTCGCTGCAATGCTTTTGCTCTTCCCTTTTTATTATCGCATTTGGGTTTAACTGAAATGTCACGCCTTTATATTAACGCACAAAATGCGCGGCCAACCGCAGCAAATGTAACTGAAAAAATAACAACGGTTGGCTTAACTCCTTTAAATTGCTGGAAATATATATTCTTTAATGTATTATGCAAAGGGATACCCTCTAACTGGTATATTGCAACATGAAATAAGTTAAAGTTTAGGTTTTTAAGGGGGGATATACATGTAAGCGGTCAAAATTTGGCCATTTTACGTAAATTTTTTTTTATAAGAAATAGTCAAGCAATCGTCGTGAAACTTTGGATATAGTTAAAAGTATAATCAGAGATGATAAAAAAAATTAGTTATAAACAATATTTTACAAAATGGCGGACTTATGGAACATATGCCGTAGCGCCACGAGCTTTGAGTTGCCGTGCTATGGACACGATAGAGCTCGTAGTTCCTGTCCGAAATCCGTAAACTAAATTTTTTTGTATTCATTACACCTTTATCTTCTATTTGAACCTAAAAAACCAAAAAGAAATCAAGACAAAAAAAATAAATTTTGATTTGAAGGGAAAAATGCCATTTTCAGGTGATAAGTTTTCACTTCCCACCCTCTTAAAAAATAGTAATACTAAGTTTTATAACAACCATTTAGGTTCAAATAGAAGATAATTTCATGCTGATCATAATAATTTTTGATTCACTCCGATATGTTACGTAGTTTTTTGTGAATCGTGTCCATAGCATAGGTAGAAATGCCAAAATTAGAAGTTGAGAAAATGACGATTAAAGTTTTTGATGCGCCCACATTAACACTAGTGAACCTTGCGTGCATACTTGATTTGAGGCACCTAAAGTTGGAATTCGATAATGAAATTTACACAGTATATTCTTTAAGTAATAAACTATTTTTTAAACCAAAAAAAAAAATTGCCAAAAAAAATTTGGTTTACATGTATATCCCCCCTTAAGGCTTGATGATTTCAGTTTCCTCGCAAAACAATCAAAATTCAACTTCAATCGAAATTATTCGCACAACAAACCATATTTTAATATTTATAATCATTTTCCAATTGAAACCCAGAGTGCGTAATTTATAATTTGCAATGAACGCAGCAAAGCGCGAAACGCAAAATAAAAATAGAGACGGAAAGCGCGGAAAAACAATCACAAAATACCGATAACGATGGGAAATTGTGTAATGCCGATAATGAACCCGGAGTCCAGCGTTACGTGACCATGTTTGGGTGGAGCAAAAATATGTTTGTTATTGTCTATTTGTTTGGGCAATTTTCAATTTTGTGGGTAAACAAATTGCTGTCACCATGAATATTAACAAATATTCAAATTACATAAACATAATTGCATGAATATTTATTGGCTGAAATTTAATGCATTGTTTGTGATCTGCGAATCCGACAATGGCCAATGCCAATTGGCCATATGCCAATTATTTCGGAATTTATTTTTGGTTCTTTACCTTTTTTAAAGATTTCTGCGGAAGCCACTTTAATGAGATTTTTGCTGTGAATTATTATTGTGCCCCGAAAAGATTAACTTTTCATCAATTTGTTGCCGTCTTCCTGCAAGTATTTCCCGCCTGACATTTATCATTTTATATTATGCGTCCGTCCCAGAAATATCTTCTGCCCTATGCTCGACATTGTTGCCGTTGCAGCGGCCTTCGCTAGTGGCTATCGTAATTTGTTGCAATTAATTTTAATTGCATTGCCTGTCATTTCCATTTCCATTTCGATTTCGATTTTTCACACACAATTTGAATAAATCAACAAAAAGCCGCTGTCGCAACAGGCAAAAAGGCAGAAACAAATACAGGAAAAGAGTCGGTGGGTGGGGTAATAAAACCAACCTTAAATGGCAATTTAAGCAAATAAATTAAGGATGGAAATTAATGCGTTTTTATAAACAAACTGTTTGCATTGCAGTGCGCCCCCTGCTCGTGGAAATCAGCTTCAACAACCAGCCGATGTCGGCGGATCGAAAATATGAGATCGAGTGCCAGGCAATCGGGTCGAGGCCGCCGGCGAAGATCACCTGGTGGATGGGGAACCTCGAGCTGCACGGCCACAGCCAGAAGGTAAATGTAATTTCGAATTTGAAATTGAAATAAATAATATTAATTTGCAACATCTTCGAAAGGTATCTGAGGACGGCAATGTGAGCACATCAGTGCTGTCCATAACTCCCACGAGGGAGGATCATGGCAAGGCTCTGTCCTGTCGCGCAACCAACGAACTCGTAAGGAATGGCATTCGAGAGACCGCCATGAAGCTGAATGTGTTCTGTAAGTATATGATTTTAAATATAGGGAAAATGATCAAAAATGATCTAGTTAAGAATCCATTAAGTCTAAGAATAAGTACCTCAATCATTTTATTTACTTCTCTTAAGAGCCATGAACTATTAAATTAATATTTAAAATATACAAATCCACAAATATGTTTTAGTACAGAGGATAACCTTTCGTTTAGATTTCTTCCCTTCTGTTTAACCCAACCAGGCAATTAACTTTTCAAATTGGGTAACTCATATACTTTCCTTGTAGAACTAATACAAATCGAAGCTGTTGTCAACGGCTCTGTTCCCCCTTGCATATTTTGTGTGCCAGGAACAACTGCCGCCTTTCCATTCCGATTTAATAACACCCGCGTTTGACATATGCCGCTGCTTTATGAGTGCCACATAAACCATCGATGGGGCCGCGTTCTGATTCTCGGGCGATCCCATAAACTATGTCAACCGCTTATCGCCCATGTCCCCTTGCGAATCAATACTGTTTTGCATACCAATGCCATAGAGACGGGCCGGGCGATTGGTGCGGGGATTTGGGAGCACTGTTCCAAATATTGGCGGGCTTTACATAATGCATTCCATTTTTTGCGTTGGCCCGGCTCGTATGTCAAACGTTTGTTTTATGGGCCGCGTCAACAATGTGCGGGGCTAAAGTTTGTTAATAAAATTTCTATGGCAAAATATTAAAAGACCGCGCGTGGCGAAAGGAAGAAATTTGTGGGCGCACTGTTCTTTATAGTGCGACAAGCCGGAAAGCTCACTTTAAGCCACAGGACCCTGCCTCCGCATCCGCACCCGCACCCGCACCCTCACCTATATAGCCCACATATGCAGGGAGAACGAGAACCCTTAATGTTTCAATAGTCCCCGAGACTCGTGTCCTCTCATCTCCTTTGGCTGTGACGACAGCGTCTTGGGCAAACAGTTGCCACGTCTATTATCTAAAAAGCTTGCCGCCTCGTTGTTCCCCAATGCCATTGAAACTTTTACTCCTTTCGGTGGCTGCTGCTGCGATGATGGGGATGCTTCCCCAGGATGCTGCAGATAGAGCACTGAGAGAAATTAAAGTGCCTTGAAGTTGGGGTAAAGCTTGTTATTATTTTGTCTTTGTTTTCTATTCAATAAATATAACTTTTAACACTTTTCTTACAATTTTGCTTTCGTTTTAATGAGCAAATATATCTCTAAAAGCTATCAAGTTAGTATTGAAATTTCCTCTATTCATTTCCAATTTCAAAGAACACATTTCGCCCAGTGTACGCTTGCCTGGTGGGGAAAAAGTCGGGCGCAGCTTCTGCGCGAGCGCTGATATAAAAAATTAGATAACAATTTCAATTTCCATGCTCATTTACATGTTTATAGCGTGCTTAAAATATTTCGGTCCCCCGCTCAGTTTTCCTTCTCCTGACACTTCCTGAGATTTCATATTTCCCGCCCGCCCTTCCGCGGCCCAACAAAGATTTTGTGTCTTTTTTAAGCGCGTCTTTGTTTGCCCTTTGCGTCGGGGGTAAATTGAAAAGTTGATGCAATGCCTGCCGCTGCCAGGGTTGAGAAGGGGCAGGCTGAAGTTGACGCTGCCAATAATTTTCTCATTATACTACATCACATTTAGCCGGGGCCATAAAAAAGTTATCTCTAATATCTTAATCTGCCACCTCAACGCAGCCGGGCCTCTTATTTTCTGCACAATCAACTCAGGTTAGGCGGCCGAAATGAAATCAACAGGAAAAGCCCTGCCAACAAAAATTAAAGTCATATCCGCAATAAACTTAATGACAAGGCTGATTTAAAACGAAAATATTAACGACTTGATGAGAAGAGCTCTAACAGGTGAAGGAGCAAAAGTCATTTCCAGTTGCGGGCTAATATAAATTAATAAAATTAAAAATTTTAAAAATAATACAAACAAAAAAGAACAAGGAAAATATATTAGTTAGTAGTATATATAGTATATAGTTATCTTATTTTAGTTTTGAAAATAATTGGTATTCTAGGAACATAGTAGGAACACCACATTGTAACATATAATGTAGCATAAGTGTTAACAATCAATTATGAATAAGTGGACACATATATCGATAGAATATCGGAGATCTGCGATCTCTACTTCTTGTCGGCGTTATTTCATATTGCAGGAACATAGTAGGAACACCACATTGTAACATGTAATGCAGCATAAGTGTAAGCAATCAATTATAAATAAGTAAACACATATATCGATAGTAGGCAAGGGTGATCGATAGAAGAATCGGCGTGTTGTGCAATAAGTTTAGCAACTTCTGGTGTGTGAAAATAAAATAAAGAACTACAATATAAAAGGACTATAGTGTAAGATGTATTACTAAATATAATAGAAAAGTCTTAGTCACTTATTTATCAGACTTTGCCAAGTATATTTTTACTATAAAGTTAAGTAATATATTTTTAATTCGAAATTGCATATAAAATGAAAACTTTCCTCTACAATTCTATTACCCTCGCCAATGGTATAAATACGACAAAATAGGAGAATAAAGTTGCCGCCTAATGTAATTTATATGGCCAGAGAGGACAGAGGAATCAATTTAAGGGCTGCTAACGAGAACTCGCCCAACTTTGTGCAATAGACAATGACAGGCCTTACGCACACCCAAGCAGCCACACACTGGCAATCGCACAGACACACATACAAATCGAGCCCTTTCCTCCTGCAACTGCAGCTGCAACATAATGTGGCAGTGGCACTCAAAAGTCGTTACGTTAAGCTGCAGTTACGACTGGGATGGGCTTGCTTTGGTTTTTCCTCTGGTTTTTCGGGACAATCCCGCCACGAATGGAGCACGGGGTCGCCGAGATAGAGGACCATAAAATGCATTAGCCAGACGTAGTTGGCCAGCTTGGCCAGTGACAGTTATTACCACTTAAGCCCATCCCAACCGCAACAGTGTGGCCTGCCAGCCACTTGGAGCTTCCTTCGGAGAATATCTCACTGTCAGTGTGCAGTTGGACAAAACAGAGAAACTTTTTAGAACAATTCACTATTAAATAGCTAAACTTAACTAAAATTATAATTCAAGTTCAATTCTATAAGGGAATGCCAAATGAATTATTTTCAAATTAATATTTTCATCTTTTATAAAAGTGTTCTGATATAGTTGATTCAGTTCAGTTGTATTACATTTTCTAAAAACTAAAAATTCACTATTTTCTCCCAGTGCACCTGCTTATTTTCCCTTCCCTTCTGTTTAGTTTTCTGGTACTGGCTGTCCCCGGCTTAAAGTCATCGCTAATGAACTTGTTGAGCGGAAAAAAGATAGACACAATGAGGGAGACGGAACCGAGGCAGAGGCAGTGGGAAAACTCTTTAAATTATGCAAACTGCTTTGACTCGTTCTTCTTCCTGCCTTCATTGTCCTTGCCACCCCAGGCCCACCCCTTTACTCCACTGGCTCTCCTCGGTTTCATTCGTTTCCCGTTCGTTCTTTCGCCGTCTCTGGCCGTTTGTGTGTGTGTTAAAGCACTTTTCATTTTCATTAACAAGTCTTTGCAAAAGACGAAATCGGCTTAAAGAAACTTGCTTATAGAACGTGCCACCCTAGAAAGCGGAAAAGAAAAAGCCAGAACACTAAGCACACAGAGACCCAAGACCAAAACTAGGAAAAGCGGGGAAAAGTTGCCAAAAACAATGTGCAAAATAATAATAAACAAGCGGAAGGTGGCAAAGAGCCGAAGGGGCAGCGGCAAAGAAACATGGCTGGAAGGGAATGGAAAATGGAAGAAAGACGAAGCGACACTAATCACGGATAAGTCCGGATTAACCCCCTTTCTCCCACCCCTTCCATGCCTTTCTTGGGCCCAAGTCGAAGGATTGTCCAAAACAGTAAATTACGTTTGATGGACTCTCGAGCGAATCCAAGTTCCGAATCCCAGTCTAAGTCGCCGCCTTAGTCAAATGAATACAATACTCATCCGCCTCTTCTTATTTCCTTTGCAGTCATCCCCACCTTGCAGCTGGACCTGGGCTCCAATCTAAATCCGGAGGATATCGAGGAAGGCGATGATGTCTATTTCGAGTGCAAAGTGCATGCAAATCCGGCTGCTTATAAAGTTGTATGGAAGCATAATGTAAGTGAGCGAACATAAAACTTTCCCATTGACTTGCAATATTTATGAAGGGGTGTGAAGTAAAGTTAGGCAAAAATATATTTCAACAGCTTTTAAAATGTATTATTTTCAGCCATCAAGCTTGACAACTTTTAAGGTCTAACTAAGATGTTTTTGTCTTTTGTACAGAGAGAAAAACAAATATATTTTATCCAAAAACATAGGCGAACAAAAAACATTGTGATCTAGCTTGGTAAAACAAACCAATATTATCCAAAGAAAAATTTAACGTTTTATTTGATTTTTTGTTTAAACTTTTAATGAAAATCAAGAAAATACCTCTCTTATTTTTGTGTGTACTGACCTTCAAATATACTTGAAATGTTGTACTCAAGGCAATTGAGCGTACAACTGCCAAACTTCCGGCAATTCCCAAGACATTGGCGTGCTCCCTACTACACACACACGAGCCTCCGGCCGGGTAAATTATTATGAAACCGAAATTAAGTGGTCATTTTTACTGAATTATTGGCCAATTATTTTAAGGCAATTGAGTCAAGTGGCCTGGCCGGCCGGCTATAAGACAAGTTTTAGGCAAGGGAAGTATTTCGGTCGCCGGAGAGATCGTACAAGTTTACAAGGCAAATCATTTGTTTATTACTTGAAGCACAAAGAACTTGAACCGCAGCAACAACAAAGGCGGGCAAATAAATGTTATTCAATGCCGAACAAGAAACGAATCAAGTGTATGAATAATATGAATGCTAATTGAATTCATTCACAATGAAGTACACGACCAAACAAAGAGCTAAGCTAAACAACGGCAACAGCAAGACCAACAACTTAGTCATAACTTTTACCGAAAACAACAATAAGCAAATACAAATACCCGAAGAAGACCAGAAACTTTCCTGGAGAACGGGCGGCTAACGAAACGAAATTTAGTACAAAGGAACTTCCACGGGACACCAGGGGTGAGATCTAGGTAGATATAAACTTTATATGAAATAATAATTTGCCCAAGAGACAATGGAGGGGTTTGGTTCGAGTGCTGATTCCATTACGTCTATCTGGCATCGAACAAAATGCTAATTACATGGGGGATGGAGCAGCGAAAGTGAAATCCAAAGCGGGCGACCGATGTGCTGTGGAAGTCAACGCTAAATGCAAATGAACTGCAAGGGAAAGTTAACACTTTGACGAAGAGGAAATGCTCTTTCTGACTACCTAAAGGTGTTGAATAAATTCAAGTAAGACTACAAGTAGCTGGTGTTTAATTAGTGCTAGCAACTTTTAAGCCCTTTTTAAAGAGCAGGGGAGTATTATATGTGACTAGCTGGCAGGACAGCAAGTGACAGCAGCACAGTTAGTTAGTTAGTTGGCAATCGTCACTTACATTTAGCCAGCTCAGCGTGAAATACCCCGCAGCCTCTCTACTGCTGTCCTTTCGCCTTGTGCCGAGTGTCATAACAATAAAAGTTCACTGCGGTAGTGCAAAATGGAAATGGAAATGGATACGAAACTAAGCCAAGCGCACACACACAGGGAAAACACAGTGAAATAGCGAGAAAAACTGGGGAGAGGCGAGACGGCGGCGTACACGGCGTATGCGTAACGAGTTCAAGGCCACGCGGCAAAGGCAAATTGCATGCGTCTTGAGCGCAGTCGGGCGTTCATTAAAAGTCAATTGGTAATTGGCAGCATCGACAATGGCAGTGCAACCTGAAAATGCAATTAAAAGTCAAATCAAGTTAAATCAACTCGACTGCAGCCGGCAGATGGGAAGTAAATTAATTTTTGTTTTGCCACCACATCGATTCGGTTTGAACAATTCCCTCTTGCGAAACATCCGAAGGGCAGGAGTGTAACGAGCGGAGGAAACTTGTCTTCGTCTATTATTATTCAATTAGACAAGCTGACAATTAACGACGAGCTGGCAAATTAAATTAACAATTAGTTTTATTAAACTTGCTCACAAACACACACACACACACACAGGCAAAAGTTCTCCAATGCGTGTCAGTGTGCGTGCGTGTAAAAGTTTTACATGTTCATTAACAACAACAAGGAGTCGAAGAACTTGAAGGAGCGCTGGCAGCGGAAAGAGCAGAACTTTGATGGAATCGTTGCCCTAGCAACCAGCTAGCCCCGAATGAATCCTGCCGGCAGTAAAACTTATTTAACCCACACACACCCACACACAGGAACCGCAGAAATAGCAAACATTTCCAGAAAATTTGATTAGAGAACAAAGTCAGTGGAATCGACTTTAAAGTTTCCCAAGAACTTGGCCATAAATATTTACATAATTATGCAAGGCAATGGCAACGATTGGCTTGCCACTGCAGGCATTTCACTATTATTTCTTCGACTTGGATAAATAACTGTATTACTTGGGCAAATTGTATTGTCTGCACGTTTTTAGATCATCTTCGCTTCATACGAAATAGGAGGAAAGGTTGTAAACATTTGGATAAAAACTAAATTAAACATTAGAGCCTTTTGTCTGACTGATCGAATAATTAAACCAATTTAACTTTAGTCGTCATAAAACATTTAAAAACAACCAATTGAACGTGTGAATCCTCTGGAAAAAACTGCCTTAAAAAAGGCACCAAATGATGGGCTAAACCAAAGCCAACTCAATCAGGCCAAGCCATCGGATAAATTACGGACACTAATTGGGTATTTATAGTCGGAACAAACATCAGTGACAGACGAACACAAGTGGGCGGTGCTCGGGAGCTCGGCTCTCGGCGCTCGAGGAGTGGCTGGCAAACATGTCGAAAACACGGCCGAGAGACAGACAAACAGAAATGGCAACGCATAAAATGCGCCATTAGCATTGAGGGGCACTAAAGGGTTGTGCAGACATCATCATGCCGAAGGGGGTTGGGTGTGAGTGGTGGTTGGTTGGGTGGCGACCTCGAGGGCGGCGGGCGGAAATTCTGCAGCGGATGTGCCCCAAACTATTTGAAATAATCCTCGACGCCCACTCGGGCGTAACGGCTGCGCTGGCCTACCGTCTTTCTGCCCTCTATTCGCCTTTGTTTACACTTTTTGGTTCGCCCCAATTTTCATTTTTTTTTTTTTTTTCTGCAACAACCTTGAACTTTATTTACTTTTCGTATATGCCTAGCGACATTTTTATTTGTTTTATGACAGCAAGGTCGCTGAGCCAAGCCGCAGTTCGTCCTATTTAAGCTAACCCTGCGGGAATTGAGGCTGTGCAGGAACTGGGCTGGCTTTTTCAGCTGCTGAATGGTGAATAAGGGAACTGTGCCTCGGGGGCTGCTCTGCACTTTAAGGATATTTAAACAGGTCGAGGGAAATGCTAATGGGGCGTCGTCACTGCATGTGTAATGGATACACATGTATCCGCAATCGCCATCTACATCTGGCTCGGATACAGCCACTGACACTCGAACAATAGTATCAATCATTTCTCCACAAAGCAAATGGAATTGAATGGCCAAAATGTCAGTCGTGGGCAAATATTGTTACGTCCCGACACACATTCGCCGTCTGTCTGTCCAACCATCTAAATAATTGTTGACATCTCCACAATGGAAAGGGCACACGGAGCGGGGCCAAACAAAAGACGCGGCGCTAAATTCCCAGGATCCCAGGTCCTCGGTCCCCAACCAATGCATTCCGATATGAACTGGGCCCATATCTTCCCAGACCTGCTTAGTTATCTGGCAAGGCCTATTTAGCACACTTGAAAAATAATGTAATAATTATGTCAAGATTTTGATATGATAGTAAATAGTAATATAAAAAATAACTAGAGCTCTAAATTGGAGCTTTCGTAACATAAAAAAATCCCCTAAATAAATTGCTATAAAATAAATCTTAAATACTTATATTTTGCAGATACTACATTTTATTCCAGTGTATTTGAACCACACTATTATTTAGGTGTTGGCCTGCCTGGCTGCATTGTTTCTATTTATTTGCACACACACTCACACAGATCCAGATATAGGAGCCTCTGCACGGATGTGTGCTAAGGTCGTCGAGGCTTTGTTCGGCCTGGCTCTGGCTTTTTGACTCATGTCGACCATATTTATACACATTTTTATTTCTATTTCTATTTATTTCAATGCTTTCATTGTTGCCCACCCCCACCCGACGTTTGTTTGTTTGCTGAGCTCCGGCAAAGTGCGAATTTGTTTTGCTGCTAAATGGCACAAGGCTCTGGGGAAATGCGTCAAAATGCTGTCGAGTGGCGGCCCTATGGGGAAAAGGCTACAAAACCAAAAGACGAACACCGGGCTCCGAGCATTATTTCAAAATGAGAGCGAAAGTGCGGGAAAAGCAAAGGGAAGAAGGTCAAGTCTCTGTAAGCATTTGGGTGTAAAAGCCTCTTGTGTGTGTGTGTGTGCTTAAGGAAAACTTTAAGTAAATATTGGCTGATTTTTCAGCATCGATGCCGAGCACGTAGCCAGGCGTCCAAGGCGCAGCTCCCTAATGAAGCTGCGAGCGCACCGAAGCGCGCATTTATGAGTATTTTTTCGGGGTGACCTTGTATCCAAAGGATGTAAGTGAATAAAAGCTAAGCAAACAGAATTTTAAGGGCAACTTTGGTAAGACTTTCTTGTAACTGAATATGTGAGTTTAACTCAATTTATTTTGAAAAATAAAGACTGTTGCAAGCTGCAAAAATATCAATAAAATTTCTTCACATGCTATTGCTTTTCTAATGGATTTTAATTAGCACAAACATTGAAGCGGCTAATCCTCTTTAAATTTGTGTTACTTAAAGAGAAGCCCAACGAAAACATAGCAACTAGGTGTGCGTTTAACATATACAGATGGTAATAATTAGCCAAGCTAATTAGCCCTTTTCTAAAGATTTCCCTCTTTTTCTCTGCCTCCAGAGCTTTAGGTGTATTTTCTTTTCACAACCCCTCGCCATATGACACAACGTTAATTACGTCCTTATCCTGCCAATTGCAGCACCAAATCATCCAGCATAACCAGCGAGCGGGCGTGATTGTCAGCAGCGGAGACCTGGCGCTCCAGGGCGTCACACGTCACCAGGCCGGGAACTACACCTGTACCGCCTCCAACGTCGAGGGCGATGGCGACTCCAATGTGGTCGAGCTGAAAGTGATGTGTAAGTATCGGGGGGCGTTAAGGGGAAGGATATCTGCGGGATATATTGATTGGTGGCACCTCGGCGCATTTCGTTGTCCGCTATGACCCATAAAAACGCTTTCAAAGGGCTGGGATTGACTTGGGATTGAGCTGGGGATGGTAGAATATATATCGATATTATTATAGATATTAAATATAGTTGAAGTGATTGAAAAGATATAAATATTTTACCCGGAAACAACTGTCCAATATATTTATTAGTTTTTGGTTACAAAATTCTGTAATTTATATTTGGGGTTCCTAGAAATATATAATATTTTTATTATGACTGCCTTAAACTTAATGATATTTTTGTTAAGAATAAAATGTAAATAATTTTTCTTTAATTCCGGTTTTGTTAAGCTCTTATTTAAAGTATAATTTTTACATTTAGCTTTGCACTCTTAACCTGAATGCATCTATAGAAAATATAAATACTATTTGAGGATCGGAATATAGTTCTCTATATAGGTATTGTATATCCCTAGTCAGGCCATTCGCCAGGTCTTAAATAGAAAACCGAATTCCGCCCCAAAGTACCCACTGGAATCCTTCTGCTTTGCTCCCGCTGCCGCTGTTTGGTTTCTCGAGTGGACCTTTGACACACAAAAACGAGCATTATTGAGTGTTCGAGTGTATGGCCAGGGATGAGGATGGATGGCGGAGGCAGCTGGCTGAATGGGAAACGGCCGGCATTGTGCGCTCGTGCGGGCCTCTTGCAGTTTTATTGCGTATAGGCCCCATTATTGTGCCCCGCTCGAATGCTCCTTTGTGTGCCGCCCCGCTGCGGACACACGTACCCACGGACCCTCGTAGACATGGCCGAAAAGTGAAGCTTATTCACAAGCAGGAATCTCTCGCTTGAGCTTTGATGGCACAATACAGCGCGGATTCAAAGCAAAACTTTCAGAGTCTGGTGCTTAAATACCCTAATTTCTATATTTAAATGATTCTGATTATCTACACGTTATATAAATAATGTATTAATTAGTATATGATTTTCTGTTGTATTTTGCAATTAAGATTTTCAAAAAACCTTTTTAAAGAGTGTGTACAAAATATCCTAAAAGGAAAGCTTAAAACTCTTAGGGAATTGGGTAAAAATTTGAGAGGTTTCTCTGCTTGAGGAGCACAACAACCGCAAATCTTTCGCTCAATTTGCGCCGGATTCCTGAACTTGGCCCCGTCTAAAGTCAAACTTTGGTTAATTAGTTTGCCTTTTTCGAGCAATTTAGCAGGGCAGAGATGCTTTTATTCATTTTCGGCTCTCGTCGTCCGTTGTTGTGGCCCTCTGCTTTGGTTTTTCCGGTGGTATTTCCCTTTTATCACTTCCACTTACATTTTTTGTTTTTCGTTACTGGGCGACAGGCTTTTGTCTTTAGTAGAGCTTCCGCTCCCCAAAACTTGCACAGTGCCTTAGTGTCCAACTCCCTTCCACAAACTGTAAGGAAACCCCGAACTGAGCTAAAAATTTGTTTATGGCCTGGCCAGTTTGGCATGCAATATCGACAGTTGTCAAATAGCACAATAAATTCGCCACTTGCAACTGGCAACTTTCGCAAGTGTCGAGGTCGTGGCAAGAGACAGTGGAAAGATTTTCCCCGGGCAAAGGATTAGGGAATTGAATTTTCTCTTGCCTCCACCGCTCAGCTCTCCCAAGCTTTTCGCGTTGCAGTTGGCAAAAGTTTTAGCCGAACAAAGTTTTTCTTGAACTCGAATTTTCGTTTTGTAGTGTTGCAAAAAATAATCGAATTTTGATAGATACAATTCAAGGAATTCTTTACTTTGGCAGATATGAAAATGTTTCAACTAAATATGAAATCTAAGGTTAATAGTTATACTTTGGAGTGAAAAAATGGTGGTAATATAACTTTTATATATATTTTTTTTTAATTTGCTTTAAGAGTTTTACTAGAGTGGCTGAATTCTTAATGATCCAATTGCAAACTGCAAGGGTATCCTTTTGATTCTGCTATTTTTCGAAAGGTCACAAATGAATAATTAGATAATCTATACAAAAGTCAATACTTAACGTATAAATTGGTAATTTTTTCATAGATTGTTTAAATTTATTTTTAAAGTGGTTTATTTAAGGTTTGGTTAAGGCTTTAAGCATCGAAAATGAGCTATCCCTTGTGCTTTTGACTTTTCCTGCTTCAGTTTTCTCCTCGGTGTGTTTTCCGTTTTCAATCCTCTATTCTCTGTTTAGTTAGCTGCCTGAATGGTCAACAATAGTGGTTGGGGGGGTAAGGCAGCTACACAAAAGGGTAAACTTTTGTACTTGGGACTTTTGAGCCGACGAAACGCAGAAGCCTTCGCTCCGCAGTTTGATGCGATTATTGATTCCAGCTGCCGATGCAAACAGCAGAATGCACTACAGCCAACTTTGTTTCGATCTCCGCACTCACAAAAGCCTTTTTCCCTTTCCGCTTTGCAGATAAGCCCATTTGCCGGCCCGATCAAAAGAAAATCTACGGAGTGGCTCGGAACGAGGCGGCCGAAATTGTGTGCGAAGTGGACGCCTTTCCGCCGCCAGAGAACTTCAAGTGGTCCTTCAACAACACGGCGGAGACCTTCGACATGCCGCAGAGCGGATTTCGGCCCCACTCCGCCCAGGGATCCACCCTCACCTACACGCCCGTCAAGGTGAGTCTGATTGCGTATCCGGAAGCAGGAATTTGATATGCAGGATATGGTATATGGGATTGATCGGGGCTCCTAGATGCGTGACGCATTCGTCGCGTTAAATGCTAAGCACGTCAGACACTCGATTCATTCCGGGTTGAAGTCTGCGGCGCGCTGATAAATTTTTCATTTCATATTTCGCTGCGCTGGCTTTTAATGTGAAATTGTTATTGACACATTTGACATTTCAGCCAGTGGTTTCACTGCGAGAAAATGCAGGTTATTCCATTGAAATCATGTATAATATATAATATATATTTTATTATACATCATTTCCCTAATTTTACCAGGCGTTTTTGGAAGCAATAAACAAACAAGAAATAATACAAATATTTTCATCGTATTTTCGAACTTTAAAATTATGATTACTTTTACTTTCAGTGCCCGGTAGTTACCATTGAACTCCACGGGGGGTTGTCTGTTATTGAATAGCAAAAATTTTAATTAATAGGCGGGTCGCATGGTCGCCGCTCTTCCCGTTGTTGCCATTTATTTGGCCTGTGTGCGTGTCATGTTGTCAGCCAGCAGCAGGGAAAGTAAAGGGCGCTGGGGTGGGGCAGAGTCCTTCCATGATAGAGACAACAGTGTGAGCCATTTGGGCCAGTCGAGCAATTTTAATTAAAAATTCTATTAGCACTGCTTTCTAATTAAAAATCCAATAGCAGCAACAGAGCCACCACCCACCATCGACTACACCATCATCATCCACAACAACACCATTAAATGTCAAAGGTTATTGGAAAAAATAACAAAAAAAGGGAAAACCCGTAGCACAAAAGAACACGAAAAATTATTGGAAGTAAATGCCATCGATTTTAATAGTTATCATCATTGGCTAGAATGGAGAGGATAAAGCCAAGCACTTTCTGCTTCTCCACATTTTCCCCACTCTCCGGTCCATCTTCCACAGTCCGTCTCTCTCGATTTTGGCAACATTTCCGCATTAATGGCCGAAATGGCCAACAGCAATTGCGATTGCAGTTTCTGACGCTCCTCCCCAGCAATTGGCCAAGCAAATTGGCCATCAATGAGCTGCACTCCCATCAATGTCCGAATCGCTGGAGTTTTCGGTTTTAGCATTTGATATCCCCTATGTCGGCATCCCGACATCCCAGCCAACTGATGTCTGTCTGTGTAAATTTTTATGGTCGGCCAAAACAAAGTCTCATCGAAATTGGCAGTCCAAGAGATGAAACTAGTTAGCCAGCTGAAGTTTATAGTTCTCAGGATCAAATGGCGAGGGAGATTGACTAGTGAAGTGAAAGGAAATGATTAGGGATTTAATATTATTCTTGTTATTAATCGAATCTTATATGGGAATCCAATAAGGGAAGAAATATATACAAGAATTTTAAGACCAAGGACGGGGGTTTTCTTGGCCAAACTTGTGCCCCATCGCTTACATTCTCGCTTCGCCGTCTGACCACAAACGTGTTAAGTTCTTCGGACTGGGCTTGTGGTCGCTTGCTAGCCAACATGGCTGTTAGTTAGGCGATGACAGCAGCAGCAACAACAGGCGGAGATGGCTAGAAAGGGATGAGAGCACAGGGGCTCTGAAGGAGAGGGTGCGGTGCTGTTGCAAAGAGGCACTCAACACAGTTGTTCACGTGGCACGGCACCCAGTTGGTTTGGTCCGTCTGGTTTCCAACAGCTGACCCAGTTTAAAATGTTGCGGCTTCTTCTGCAGTTTTCCGTAATTTTCCCTCCATTTTTTCTCTTGGTCCTTAGTTTCTGTTTGCCCTTTTTCGGCATGGAACTAATCAAACTGGCGGCGACAACCTCGGCTCACATTTCAGCGATCAAACGAACGAATTTCGAGGCAGTCAAACGGCATTCAAATGAGTTCCGTTCACAAACACCCGCACAGCGCACTGATTGGACGCACACACTCGCACTGGCACACTCACAGACATAAATCATTTAGCTCAATTGAATATGAAAAATCCCTTCCGTTCTGTTGTCATATATGCTGTTTCCGGTTTCCGCCAACCGCAGCTCAAACGTCGTTGTCGTCGACATTCTCGTCCTCGTCGTCGTCGTCATCATCGCATTTAGGTTGGGATTTTTCTGCTCGGATTTTCGCCCCTCCGACATTTATTTTTTCCTGGCTCTGCGATTCGCCTCAAAGGCAGCCAACAGCTCATTAATTTTGTTTTGTGCATGGGCATTTTTTCTCCTCCTCCTCCTCCTTCTCCTCCTCCCATTTCCCCCAGCATTTTTTCTCTATTCCATTGCTATTTTCTATGTGTTGGCGGAGCAATTTTTGCCAGACTTTCATGTCAAGCAATTTCCGTTGCTGACATATAAATTTCTCAAATATTTCACAAAAATATATTTCGGTCTTTTGCTTTTTCTGGAGCAAAGAGCTCCCACTCTGTGGCGCCCAGTGCAAGAAACTCATTAAAATGTCACTTAAATGTTTAAATTTTTAATTAAAATGCATAAATAATAACGGCAGACTTGAGCTAAAACGAAATGCACAGAATGCAGTGCCTAGAAGTGCCAACAATTTTCTTGTCATTTTGCCCTATTTGGAGCCCTTAAACATACACACACACATACACCTAACATCAAGTGTACGTACATACGTATGTGCATGTGCATATATTTTATGGATTTTGTTTTCGTTTCTACGGCTGCTGCTGCAACAATATTTACCCTTTTGCTGGCGCAACATTAGAACAATATAAACAAAATAAAATAATCATAATAAATAGATGGGCATAAATTCAGGGGCCCAAGGGAGTAGAAATTATCAAGGATTGTCGGCCAGGGCGATGACAGTTGAACATAAAACAAAAATGTAGAGCAACAGAAGCTTGGAATGCCCTTTCAGGGAATAAGAATTACATACTGGAATATACAATTTCATACAAAAGTTATCAAATATAATTAATATAATATTTTAAAACAGCTATTAAAGAAAATATTCCATTAAGGTTCACTGGGAAGTCAGACAGTATCATCGATTGAGAGACCAACAGGTACTTACCCTCTTAGAGGGTATATCATGGCCGCACTCTGCATAGTCCACATTGATTATTACTTAAAATTTCCAGCATTTGTGTGCGAATGTGTGTTCGTATTTTGTGCTTGTGGCCCTGGCAGCTCCATTATAATACAACTCCGGCTCTTAGCCACCTTCCATTCGGTTTGGCCTTCCCCGTTGGTGTTGATGCGCAGTGTTGGCAGCTGCCAACTTGGCGCCTTTGTTGCCACACTTTGGTGCAACAAAAACTGCAATATCACACTGGACAACTGGACAAACACGCATATCTATTTTAATTTTCATAAATTTGTCATAAATTTGCATAAACGCTGTTGCTTAAATTACGACGCTCAAAGGCGGAAGAATATTTGCAATTTATTTTGGACTTCACAATTCCTAAAGGCCACTAAAGCACTTTCACAAAGAGAGTTTGAGATATTAAGACTCCGATTTAATTTTGAGTTGGAGAGATGGAGTTTTTGAATCTCTTTTAGTATTTAAAACGTTTAATGCTTTATCAGACTATTAATTCGTCAATTATTTCTTTAACAAAAATCTGAAAAATAAGGTTTATCGATTGGCAGAGCCATCTTAGAAGCTTTGAGATTAATAGGTTGTTACAGTCAAATATAATCTGTATTTTAATATTATACATTTTATTATTAAGTTTATCCTTCTGGGAATAGCTTAAAAAAGAAAAACTTATATCTACTAAATTCCTAAATAATTAATCTTAATGGACAATTTGTGCTCGCATGGAAGGGCACTCCTTCTAAGGGTGTATAATCAATCAGCCTGCCGTCGTTTTCCAGATGATTTGAGTTGCTAAAAAGCAGATGGGAAAGAAACCCAATACCCATTTCTGGCTTCCATAAATCTCGTCTTTTCCCCGGGCTGTTGGCGAGGTTTCCCTACGGCAGGGACTATGTGCGCGTTTTTCCTTGTTTTTCTTTTCTTGCTCTAATTAAAATGACAACCACGCCCAGTTGCGACTCGAAAAGATAGGAAAAGCAAAGAGACGAGGCCGAAACGCGTGCCGACTGACAAATAAGCTGCAATTTGCGTTGACATTTTCCCGTGCACCCGAAAGTGATTTCAATTTTTAATGAGTTCGGGCCGCCGCCTGAAGTTGATTAAGTGCGTTGATTCCGGTGCTCGCAGCCAACGGAAAAGGCCAAAGGTAAACATGGCCCACAAAGATACTCGGATACGCCGGATACACAGGATACGCAGGGCTCAAAGACACCGTCAAAGCGAATCAATTGTTGCGGATGTGTGCCCACATTTCGACTAGTTCGGTCGGTGGGTGTGCGCACTTGACCGTAGACGAAGGATTTCATTAGCACAACATTTGACAAAATGCAAACAAATAAAGAAGCGGCCCAAACAATGGCAAAGACCGCAGGCGGCCACTTAGCACGGGGCTACAATGGGATAGACAGGCATTAGGGCCATGTTAACATGGCTTTCTTCCGCTCTCCCAACAATTCGCATTCATGCCAAACACCATACATATGCGATGGCCGCGGGGGCGACCACAAAACGCTTCATTTGTTTTTACTGCCCGGCATTTTTCCGAATTTCCCGGGGCCTCCCCTGCATTGACATGACGTGAAATTATATTAATGAAAAACTTATTGACAGCTGCGATCAATCAGGGGCAGCTCTGACAACACACTGGCCCGTATCCATATTGATTTAATGAATTAAGTTCACATTGATGTCGTGTGCGGCTGCTTGAATCCCATTTAAATGTGTGGCCAAGAGATGAATTCAAGTAGATGCACTGAGAAAACGATGTTGATTTATGTCTTGTATTATTTGTATAGCTTATTAAATGGTTACTTGTCAAAATAAACATTCAAGTGAATTCATTCGAACTAATGTTCTTCTTAAACGTTGCTTATTTCTAAAGTAAATTCCCGAAAACCTGTTTAAATATGTAATTTTTTTTTTATAATAAAATATATAAAACGTTTAAAAGAAATTCTTTAAAAAATAAAGAAAACAAAGAATCTATCAATTAAAGTTTACGGTATTTAACGTGTATATAAACATCAAGAATTAAAATGAAACGGGTTTTACAGCGTAAATAATATGTTCAGTAAATATAAATAAAATCCGATTTAATGTTTATCTGTAAATATTACTATTATTCGTACTGTGCAATCTATTTTTGAACCATGTTCGCCCTCGAGTATTGATGAAATCCTGTCTCCTCTGACTTTTTTTTCAGGAAATGGACTTTGGCACCATCATGTGCTGGGCCGACAACAATGTGGGTCAGCAGAAGGAGCCCTGTGTGTTCCATTTGATAGCCGCTGGCAAACCGGAAGCGCCCACCAATTGTACGGTGGTCAATCAAACGTCCGACTCGCTGGAGGTTTATTGCATCGAAGGTGAGTTATATGGTGCATATACACATATATACGTCAAATTGCCAGCCAATTTGTTGCCCTTTTTCATTGGGGCCGTTCCTTCTTTTTCCCCCTTTGGTTTCTATAATTGCTGATGAGCCAATCAATGGCCGAAAAAGGCATTGGTCAGTGGGGGCGACTCGGAGGGAGGGGGGATGGAGTGCGGGGTGTGCTCATGTGCTGAGACTTCCTTTGCAGCATGAGCACGTTGAGTGTGTGTGCGCTGTGTGCTGTATGTTGAGTTTCCTGCAACGCTTTTCAGACTCATTTAAAATACATGAGCAACTTAAGTGCACTTTGGCAGCCATCTACGAGAATGTCTATCCAGATACGTATTCCCACACTCGCACATAAAGCAGAGCCAACTTCCTTTCGTGATGCAGGCACAAATAATAAAAATGCAATGAAAGCATAAAACTAGAAAGGAAAGGCAGCGTGGAGCGGGCAAAATAATGTTGCTAAATTTTCAATTCCCCTTTAAAATTTGCCGTAATAAATAAAATAGAAGCCAGCCATCAAGCGATGAACTGCGAGCCGAACTGAAACAAAAATCTGAAGCACAAGATGCTGGGGAGACGCCGAAGTGGTGGCACGGCAGAAAGTTAAGCGCAAATTTGTACATACAAAATGTTTTGGCTTGTTACGCAAGTTGCCGGCAGTTGGCAAAGAAGGGGAGCGGAAACTTTAAATACAAATTCAATTCGCATATTTTATGCGCAGCGGAAGAGTGCAAAACGCAAAGACAGAAAAATGCCAGCAAAGCGCAAAATAAGCAGCACAAATTGCAGGGCCCAGAGTTCAAAGTTCGCAGCGATAGAGTTGCACATTAGCGCAGACAGAGAAATGTCCTTGCAAATTGCAGCAGCTCTGAGCTTATGATGCATTTATGCAGCCCTTGAGTGCCGAACCGGAGACGGAGATGGAGATGGAGATGGAGATGGAGACGGAGACAGAGCGGACGGATCCTGGATCCTGCGAAAAAGCAACGCAAATCAAAGCGTTGCATAACGAGGCGGCTGCTGCAAGAAGTGCAACAAAAAGCGCATAATAACTGCATACTTAATGGCGCTCTTTCCCGTTACTGTTTGTTTCCCCTCGCAGATGGTCCCCGCTCCCCCTTCTCGTTTTCCTTCTGTTTTTGCAGCCGCTTTAAGCGCTCAGTGTTTTCCACCAATTGTTGGCAATCGCAATTGTTGTGCGCACTTAATGTTGTCTCAAGTGCGCGGCCACGCTGCGTATGCGTAATATGTAATTGCATTACAATTCGCTGTGCATGGTCTCCTTTTATTTTGACTTTCTTTGCCACCGGAAGCCTTTGAGATGTACAATTGTTTTTTCCTAAGGGCATCATACATAAGTTACGTAATTAAAATGTTGGAGATTTCTAAGTAACGTAAGAAATGTGTGTAGTAAATTAAATTTCTATGCTCAACATTAATAAAAGATTCAAAGCGGACTTTTAGACTTGCTTTTAATTTAATCAGAATTAAATATCTCAAGTAAAATAATACAATAGATATATTTATTAAAATATTTTCCAGCACCTTCTTGTTATTGTCAATAATCTATATAATTATACATAGTATTGAGAAATAAGACAAATAATCAGAGTATATAATATCAGCATATATGTAGGTTTCATCCAACAATGCATTGCAGCGATGGCTTTAAGCTCCCTTATTCAGACATTTGTTGTTCGCCTTATTACCGCATCACTCCCACTTCCTCCGACCAACCACTTCCGCTCCTCGGGCTGCTAATTTAGTGGCTGCACATTATTATCATAGTCATCAGCATCATTAAAACTTTAACGCAAGTTGTTTAAGCACAACACAAGAGCAGCAGCACCACCAGGGCAGCGCGCACAATGCGATACTTTTTATATTGCACTCTACATTAAGGCAAACGACTGCTGAGCACCACGCCCCCAAGACCACCCTGCACCCTCCACCCTCCACCCACCACCCACCGCCCACAGCCCTTGGTCGTTTGTTTTTATAATAACTCAACTTTAGCTGCGGTCGACTTTAATAAGCCAGCACGCAACTTGGCCAACTCAACTCGACGTGGCCGTCGCCGCAGCTCAACTCGGCCCAAACTGAACCGAACAGAACCCCAGTTAAACCAACTCGCCCGGACTCGAATTCAATTCAATGTAGGAGTACATAGTGCTGGTGCTGCTGCTGAAGACAACTCCGCATCTTGGGGCCAAGTTCGGTTTGCTGCTGCTGCTGCTGCTGCTTTTTTCTCGGAAAACAAAAATAAAACAAACTGACAGGGTAACGGCAACTAACCGAACTCATCAAGCGTCGCTTTAGTATAATAAAATTTCAGTTTATAACATTTTGCTTCTCTGCTGGCGAAGCTGCTGCACTGAAAAACAATTGTGATTAATCGCTTTAAGTCTTTGATTTCGGACATAAATGGTTGTTTAAGCTTAAAGCGGATAGAAGGATTGCTGGATGCTTTGCAAAATGTTAAGTGTAGGAACATATTAAGAAGCCATTTTTGTAAGTCTTCCAATGTTTTCCTCAGTGTGGTCTTGCTTCCGCCGCTACTGCCCCACTTGCTTTATTATTTTTACTCCACTTGCTCAGTTTCCATTGTTGCTGTAGCCAAGTAAATAAAATTAACCCATTACAATGAAGTTTTTTCTTTCGCTCTGACAACGGAGCTGCGGCAAATTTCATTAGCTAAACGTTTTAAAGTGCGCACAAAATGGCCGCCAACGAGAACAGTGGCCGGAATGGGGACGGGGAGTGATCCCTCGGATGGGGCGGAAAAATAAGAACGGAATTAACCCACGCGGCCCACGAACAATGACGCTTTGAAGCAAAGGCCAAGCACATTCTCTTTACTCTATTTCCGTGCCCCTTTCTTTGGGTTCCTGAAAAAGCGACCAACAAAAACAACTAAAATTCATAGCAACATATAAAACATTTTACCAACAATTTCTCCATCGGGGCCGGGCCCGGGGCATGTGGCCTGGCCGGCTGAAGTAGTTACTCAGGACCCGCTGCCTCCTGTGCCGGCTCCTCTGAACCTTTTCAGCAAAGCCCGCTGCCTTTATTACAAAATATTTTAACATTTTTCGCAAGTGTTTTAAGTCGGCTTTTGTGTCTACAATGAAGTGCCATTTGAGCTGCCAAAGCTAAGCAAAAGCAGCCGCCGAAGAAGCTTACTTTCTGGCCAAAACCCCTGCCACCAAAAATGGGCCAACTCGAGTGGGCTTGGCCAGTTCTTTTGTGGTGTTATTTAATGGCATTTAAAATGTAACTTTAGATTACTCTAAATATATATTTCTGCGGCGGTCGGCAAAGAGTTGAGGGGTCCTTCAATTACGAGTGAGCTCTACTCAAAGTTGAACTTGAGGGCTGACCTTTACTTGGGGGCTCTTTCAAAAACATGAGGTTCCTGGTGGAGCTAAAGCCATACATTAAATTAGAATAACTTTTTGGTTATATTATCTCTTATTTGTTTGCTTTGAAAAGCATTATCAACTTTGCATGGCTTCCAAGAACTCTCGAAACAAAAGTCCTCGCTGTCTTCCCTCTTCTAAATCCCCAACAAAATCCAAGGCATAAGCAGAGTATAAACAAGACCCACAGTCAATTGCCAACTACTTAATATTAATAAGCCCGCCCCCATCCCTGAACAAATCGAATCTCGGTCAATATGCTAAGTAAGCCCCAGTTCGTGCCAAGTTATGCAATCAGTGTCTCGCTCTCTTTCCGCAGGCTTCGATGGCGGGATGCGACAATGGTTCCTCATGGAGATCTACGATCAGCACAGTGGCCAGCTCCAGGCGAACATCAGTGCCAAGTTCGCGGCCTTGAGCGTGACGGGCCTGGACGCTGGCCGCCTGTTCCGCATCTACGTCTATGCCGTTAATGGACGCGGACGCAGCGATGCCATAGCCCTGGACGGGTACACCCTCAAGGCGGCCGAAAAGCAGACGGGTAAGTCGGAGAAGGCCCACCCTTGGACCCATGAATTTTTAATGCATTCTCTAATGGGCAAAGGTGCACTGCCAAAAAAAAGTCAACCTTAAGTTTATTAAAATTAATTTTGATTGATTTTTTTCAGTAAAATTGTTATAAGCTTAAAGAGAAGGTTTCCATAAACCTGAAAACAATTTTTATGAGAATCAAAAAAGCCTTTTTCTTTCAATGTACTCTCTTTTATGAATTCTTTATGCTAATTCTGTAGCTCTCCCTTGCTGTCGCACAAACGCAAAGGAATTGCATAACTTTGCATTCAGCTCAGGCCACTCAGAAGGCTGTGTATCAGTTTCGTGGAAAAGATTGTTCTGGTTTTATGATTATTATGCCACCTCGCAATTTAATTACGCTAAACTGCTCAATGAATTGTAAATTCCGCGACACAAAACTTTTGCCTGCAGTTTGGGACACAAATTGTATGCAGACTTCCCCCGCAAAGTGGCGCAAAAAATCTGAAATGATTAGCATTAATGAATTGGGGTTGGCGGAAGAGGCGGAAAGAGCCAGAGTCTCTTTTTTTATTGGGGGTAAGGGAGCTAAACGAAAGAGGAAATTGTAATGCTAATTAGCCAACGCAAGAGCTGACAGGAATTTTATTTTCATTTTCGTATTTTCCTCTCTTGGTGGCAGAAAGGAAGCTGGAAAGCAGGCGGAGGCCTAGGAGGACACTCGCATTTTGTGTAAACAACTTGAGCCGACATTTCAATGTTTCATAAAGTCAGGTCGGGCAATAGAGACGGAGAAAAGTGCAAAGCAAACAGCAAACAACAGGAGTGGAAAGGACGAAGAGGGAAACGGAAAGATGGAAATCAGGAAAGAAAATTGTCTTCGCTAGGTCAGAGAGTAAATGCTCTGAGCAAAGATTAAGCTCGATTATGATCAGCGTTTCCAGAAAATAAATATTTCCTTAGCCAAGTGAAAGAGTGCCTTGGAAACTTTGAGTCGCCAAGCAAAAATCATTGAGGGAAAATATACAATTTGTAGAGCGGTTTAGATAAAGCTGGTTTGGAGGAATACTGTTCTAAAACAGACTTCTAACAATAGTTTTGTCTTATTTATTTTCTTTTTTGCAGTGGCTTTGACTTCCTACAAGGGCAGCGCCCAGAGTCCCGACAACTTCGAGCTAACACCGATCCTGTCCATTGGCATCTTTGTGGGCATCCTGGTGGCCATCGTCTGCATCGGGATCGGCACGATTGCCGCCCTGAAACTGCGCTCGCACAAACACCAGCAGCAGCAGAAGTTCGCACATCCGAATGCGAAATTCTCACGTCCGGGCAATTTGCAAATTAAGGATAAAATCTCATTGCCATTGAGTCACTCCGAGGAGATGTACGACGAGAAGAATCCCGATGTGGTGCCCTACAATGAGGGTGAGTTGCCATCCCCGTCCCGATCTGAATGAAAACCCCTTCCCTCTGGATTCCCCTCAAGATAAATGGCGTCTGCCTTCGCTGGCTTCTGTTGGCAATTTATGGACGTTGGGCTTGAGGCTCCTGGCTTTCTTCCCTTTTATGCAAATGCATTTGACAGGCCGTCCGTCCGTCCGTCCGCCCGGCTGGCCCATGCAGGCAAAACAAACAGGAGCGGTGTGTCCTGAAGAGCTTGCTGCATTTTTGTCCCGGTGCTGAAATATTTAAATGACAGCTAATTGCTGTCAGGTCCTCAGTCCTTAGCTTGTTTGCTCGTGTGTCTGCAGTCGAGGGCCTTAAAGGCTCCCCTTTAAAGGGGGCAAGGGGGAGCCCCTTCGAAAATAGCAGCAATTTCACTCACTGCACGTGCTCGCTTGATTAATGGCAATCAAGAAATCAAGCGGCAGCCAAAAGCAGAAGCAGCAGCACAACAATTTAATCAATTTTCCAAACGTAAAGCAATTTCATGGCCAAAAAAAAAATAGGGAAAGAAAAAGCCAAGGAGCATAAGGGGGCCAGAGTAAAATTGGGCAGGAAGAAAACTTGCTGCTGAAAATCACCAAAAGATTTCAGGGCGTCGGCCAGGCCAGAAACTTTTGCCTTGCTACTTACCAAGCAACAAAAACGGCGACGGCCAAGCTCAAACTTTTTGAACTAACTAAGCGTTCTCCATTCCGTTCTGTTCTCCCCGAATGCCCCGCCCAAATTTCCACCCAGTTGATGGTGAATATAAACAAAAATCAGCAACACAAACGCCATCGGGACATCTTTCGACAACCAGCGAGGTGGAAATCAGCTGCAAGCCCGGCTCAACATCCGGCGCCGGAATCGCCCAGGCCAACTCGGCGGACAGTGGCACCTATCAGAGCAGCAAGGTAAGTCCTCCTCGCAAGTTTACGTCACCGAAAAGTTTTAATTACAGTCAAACTACTCTATGACGAACACTGTCCCGGTCCATTGCCATGACAAATGCTTTGATTTGATTTCCTGAGAAAATCCTAGTGCTATTGGAAACAAGTTAAGCAGGATTAGAAATTAAACTTGTGATTATAGCCACGCTAAGAACAGTGGGAAAATAATCTGATTCGGTTCACTTTAGGGGTGAAAGCTTTTATAAAGAGTTTCCCCAGTTTCTTTCCGCAGTTTTCGTTCTTGGAAGGTCAAATTGGTTGGGTTCGACAGTAATTGAAAATTGTGTTGGTTGTAATTACCCCGACAAATGCTTTGATTTTCTGTTACAAATTTTCTCGGAAACAGCTCACTGCTTTCGAAAACAATTTAGTTAAGGTACGAAATTAGTCAACGAAATTATTTATATTCTTGGAATATTTCTATCTATCTATTTCAGACGAAGGAGTGTATTTCGTGTTCAAAGCTTAAGTAGTTTCAAGGATCTTTAAATAATAAAATTACGCACAATTTAAATACGTAAAAAGAAACTTAAGCTTTAGATAATTCTATTATTATTACAATTAGTTACATAATTTGAAAGTTTGATTCTGAAACTTAGCGGGTTTGATTATAATAAACCACTATTTTCATTATTTCGATTTTTAAATTTTTAAATTTAAATTTTTTCCAAAAATTTTAAATCGTTTTCAATTTTCTCCCATTTCCTATCTGTCACCAGGACGATGAGCTTCACTACGCAGAGCTGTCACTGAATAATGCTTCCGCCGGCTGCAGCACCTCGAAAAAGGGTCAGACGATGGGGGTGGGAGTGGCCCAGCAGCAGCAGCAGCAGCAGCACCCTCTTCAGCAGCAGCAGCAGGCGGTGCAGCAGGTGCAGCATCCGCACCCCATGATGGGCGGCACCCTGCCCCACGGGTCCAGTATGCGCAAGCTGCTGCCCAGCATCCCGGCGACGGCGACTCTGCAGCGCCACAAGCCGAATGCGGGCGGAATGCAGCATCCGCACCAGCACGCTCCGCCGCCCACGTACGACTACGATTACTTTGAGGAGCCGACGATATACGCGCAGATCGATGCGTACAAGACGATGCAGGTGGACACAGGTGCTGTCGGAGCAGGAGCTGGGGCCTGCATCTCCTCGCCCGGCTCCCACGGCACTCCCTCGACGGTCTCCCCCGGGACGGTGCAGATGTACACGCTGCCCCCGCATCCCGGTGGCTACCACACTCTCCCGCACAACCATCACGCACAGCAGGCGGGAGCAGGGGGAGGTCCGCAGAACTCTGCCTCAATGATGCAGATGCAGATGATGCAGCAGCAGCAGCAGCAGATGCACCACCATCCAGCGCCGGTTCCAGGCCCCGCCGGCAACATGCCCATGCCGCCCTCGTACCAGCAACACCAGCAGATGGCCCACGGCCAGATGCTTGTCTCGAGCAACAGCAGCGGCCTGGCCTCCACCACGGCGGCCGTGGCCAGTCCCAGCAGCTCCCTCTCCGGCCTGTCGGGCGTGGGCAAGTCCTATTCGCGCGAAATAGTCACAGTGCGCACCCCGCTCATGTACTCGCAGCAGGAGAGTTGCGTCTAAGGACTCCCAGGAGCAGAGCAATCCTGCAATCCCAGTAACCATGCCCCCTCCCCCCACTTAGTCATGTAAGTCTTGAGCTCTTCGTGGTTGGTGTCTTAGGCTAAGTGTTGCCAAAACGAATTGAATTGAAAGTACAGAATTCAAGTGAATTGAAACGAATCTCGTGTGTGCGAAGGAACTGAATTATATTAAATGAGAGTGCGGGAAATGCGGCCATAGTCCTTAAATTATGAATATTTTTTTAACTTGCTAGCTCAGTGTTGCTTTTTTTTAGGTAATGACTATAATTTCCATTATACTTATTGCATAACTATCGTTTGGTAAGATTATACTTATCTGATCATTAAGAATTTTATTTTATTTACAACACAAATACAATTTGGGGTGATTGCCAACTTCCATTAGTCGAATTTACATCAAAAACTCGTATCAAAATTAGCAAAATATTAAAATTAAATGAAATAGAACGATGAAAATAGCGAATTATATAAATTATTTACTTAATAAGAAAGTTTATGAAATTCTCCAACTTGACAAGTGCAATAAGTATACTGAAAATACAACTTTTATTTCAAATTTTGTTTAATTTGAACTCTTTTCAGACAAAGAGATAATCCTACAAACAGGGTTTAACATTACTGCAGAATAAATAGATATTTTAACAATAAATTCAAGATATACAAAACAGCAATATTCATGAATCAAAATCGTTTAAAGAGATACTGATTTAGAAAGCCTAATTTATAGTTTAGTTTAGTATGGCTCATTCCTCAGTAAGTTGTTGGCAAGAAGCATTTAAATTGAAATATATCATATATATAAATATATATATATATATAATGCAGCAGAAGAAGAATGTTCCTTCCTTACAGTAAGTACTCAGCAGCACGCAGTCTGCGCCATATTTTTCCAAGAGATTACTTCACACAAAAACACAAGATCAATATGAATTACTTTCCGGAAATCCCTGTAAATGTTTGTAAATGTCAGCTGGCAGAAGAGCAACAATTTTTTAGTAATTAGGCTCAATAAACGCATAAGTGTAGCATAACTACAAAGTAAGTATATCCTTGATATAATAGACTTAAAGCTCACAACCACTCAACCGAGCAACGCGGAGGCGCAACTTCTTGGCAATTATATTGAAAATAAATTACATTACTCGAGTTTATGCAACATAATAATAATAATAATAATGATTAAATTAAACACTCACCTAGACACGGGCAAATTAGCTGCAATTAGCTTAGCTTAAACGAATACTAAGTATTACTGTGTACATAGATCGTAAATATAATTTAGAAAACCCCAAAGCGAATCAAACAGAAGCGCAGCAAACTGCAATTAAAAATCCAGGCTAAATGAATGTAAATTAGTTGCACAATCGATGCGAAAACTCCAAAAGACTATAAATAACAAAAGGAAAACACAACAAGGACCTATCGTTGCTATGTAAACTTGGACAAAAAATGAGAAACCAAACAAGCAGGAAAAGAAAAACAAACGGGGAAAATTGTTGTTTGTAAATTGCATTTATATATCAAATTGTATTTTTTCTCTTCAATGTATAAATCAATGTTTGAACTGTGAAAAAGTATAAATATAACAAAATAAATGCACCTTGTAAATTATTGTTACATTTTAATATTTGTGTTTAATGGATGGAGACGGAACGAAAACGCTATCAAATTGAAAAACTATACTCTTGGAAAAAATGTATAAAGCAGACGTTGGCTGAGCAGTAATTGTAAAAGGCCAAGCAAGGCGATTGCAATTTCCATTTCTAGCTAGTTAAGGCGGACACAGATTTTTAAAGCAAAAATAAAAATAGCATAATAATAAAACATGGACTAAGTGATTTCTCTTACATCAATTAGAATGAAATACAAACAGATGTTTACATATAGGTCATCATCAGTGAGCATATTTCAGCATGTAAGTGTTCCAACCAATATGAATCTAATCTAAGTGTAGCTAATTTAACATCTATATGAAGAAGCCATGAAAGATAATTGTAAAATACACTGAAGATTTAGTCTAAAGCAAGGCATATACTCTACAAGTGAATTATGAATGTATGTTATGATTAAGCACTCCAAACGATATGGAAATACCCTCCCCTGTCCCAATGAATACAAGGAATACAATAAAACATGCAACACTCGAAACAAACTGATCAGCAACAACTGAATGAACTCAAACCAATAAATCCTTACAAAACTTAAATGAAAGTCGGCATGGTGTTTTCTTTGAAAGCGGGCTTTCCAGGCACTTCAAGGCATTTCTGCCTTGGTTCATTAGCGACAAGGCTCTCCATTCACTGGTGCAATATCCCAGCAGCTTCAAGGCGCAAACAAATACACAGGACGAAGAAATAATAGACTACTTAAATTCAAGTCTTTCAGTCAATAGTCCTGTAATATGTGGCAGTTTTATACAAGCTTTTAATTATCAATCATCTTTTGTAACTTTAGAGGAACAACCAAAAGATGCCATTCAACGTTCTCTCTGTGTAAGAATTCACCCTTACAGACGGACATAAATTGACAATGCAATGGTGTCTCCTTGCAGCGCTGGCCCCAAGGCCGAAAACGAGGCAAGTAGCCTTTTTAAATTGTGCACTCAAATGGACACGGGCGAGGACGAAGACGAGGACGAGCGACGACATGGCGTATGAGTTATTTCTGCATGTGTGTGTGGGGCACAAACATCTCTTCCATTTGGCTTTCCTCATTTCGTTTCATTCGCTTTTCTTTTCTTTTTTGGCAAACGTTTGCATGTGCAGCGAAGCGTAGATCTAAGAGAAATAAGACGACAGCAGGAGACATCGCCTGGATTTGTGGCCTGGCAATGGCAATGGTCATGTTTGACAAGCTACCCAGCGCTTTTCTGACTCTGCCCTCTCCAGCACTTTTCTCCGGGGCTGCAAAGTATTTGCGTTACTTTGTTTCGCTGGGTCCAAAATTAAAAGGCACACACAAAGCCAGGAGAGACAGAAATCGAGACTGCTAGACGGACAGCAAATGAAGCAGCAGCCAAAAAATACAACCAGCCCTAAAGAAGATACACTTTAAATAATATTTCTGGGTGTTACAAACATTTCCTTATTATTTTTCAAATTTAATATCTTGAAAATTACTTTTATTCATTGAAAGGATAACAGACAATTTTGGAATTATATTTTTAGAACTTCAAGCAGACGCTAACTTAATCATTTTCTTCAAGTGCATATGGCAACAAAGTTGATTGCCTCATATATCACTTTGTAGTTTTAGGTTTGTGTCCAGTTAGACTCCTCTGTCTCGGTGACAAATTAAAAACTGTGACGTCTCCGCTCAATTAACTTACTTCTGTGACGTGACTGCATCGTGCTTAAACGTTATTAAACTTCAAGAACAGAAAATATTTAAGATATATTCTCCATAAACCCGTTCATATTTATATGCGTCATCGATCCACTCTCGCCGGAATATGGCAGGGACTTCAATCAGGCTCCCTCGATGGCTGGCTAGCACTTGAACAACCCTTCAGCTGGTTCCTCTCCCGAGCTTTTGTACCCATCATCCATTGTTATCTGCTGGCCATTTGTTATGCGCCAACCCAGCACCAAACACCGTTCGATGGCAACCAGGTCAGCTCATCCTGGCCAGAAGATAGGACAGGGAACCGGGGGAGCAGGATGAGATTTGTTGGACGGCCATTCATCAGAATCGGGGCGCATAATGCAGGCATATTTATAACATTTGACAGAGCATCCACAAAGCAAACGAAACGCAGCCAGGCAACCCTTAATCGTACTCACAGGCCCGCACTCCCGAGCACTATTTATAATTATTGCACTCGGGGATTGCGGGCGGCAGCACACATGTGAACGGCATCTGGGCAATGCGAGTGCAGGCAAAACAATCTCATTACCATTACTTTTTAGATCCTTCAAACTTTCAATCAATTTCCCTAGCAATATCCGCCGGGGAAGTCGGCACAACTTGGGGACCTCGAGAAAGTCTCAAGCACTCGCTCCTTTGCCCAGAACTCGAAGCCATTGTTGCAGCCTCTAAGCACCCTGTAAATGGTGAATAAATGGTAATATTCGCTAAGGATATTAAGAGATACTTGATAAACTTAAATATTTCATAAATTACACTTATGCATAAAAGCTGAATGGTATACTTACAATAACTACAATAATTGTTAAGTAATATTCAAACAAAGGCAGCGCAAGTGAAGCTTTGCGAGGTTATTATATCAATATTAATAAATAATAATTTATTAAAAACTCAATGACATGGCAATTTGTTTACTGGGTATCTGAAAGTCGCCATTTCGGTTCAGACGTCGTTGCTTTCGCTGCTCCTTTTGCTGAGATGGAAGCGAGTTGACAGCATTGTTTTGCGCCATGACGCAGCTGATGCTACAGGAATTGCTTGCTTTGAAGTAAACAAGCAATTTTGCAAAAGAAAGCAACCCCCGGCTGCCGGAGCACCCCATCCTTGTCGCTGCAGCCTCCCCTTGCTGGCGAAACGTATGCATAACTTGGAGCTTTCTCAGCCTCTTTGCTGTCAGCTGTCAATGCACTCGACGCGTCTGCTCCCCATTTCCCAGACCCATTTCCCAGCCCCATTTCCCATCGCCATTTCCCCGGCCTTCGCTTCCAGCCCCTGCGTTGCCCCCAAATGCTGCATTTTTTATGCTGCACTGCACTTTGACTTGGCGGGGCTTTGTTTGCTCGTTCGATACTCGTAGACTGCCTTATCACGGACGAGTGTTATTTTTTCGCCTCCCCCGCCGAGAACATTGTCATCAACATTATCATCAGTGGCGGAGTTTTGGCTTCCTCCCTCCCCCCACCCGATATTATTAAAATGTCTTTGAAGCCAGCGAGTTTGTTGTTCCCTCGGCTATGGAATAATTAACAAATATTTCACATGCAGAAGAGAATGGCACCGAGATCTCTTGCAGCTCGCATGACAAATGTTGGCCAATAAATTATGGCTGCGCCTGCAATAAATATTCAAATAGCTCGGACCCGTGAGGCAGCCCCAAAAATGGTCACAGCAGCACAACTGCTAACTAATGATCTATTAGCCAAGGACTTGTGTCCTGCTCGCAGAGGAGTCTCTGTGGCGTTTCGTGTGCGAGTGCGTTTGGGTTTCTCATATCCGTTGCTCGTCTTATTAGTTCACAAAAGCGACCACGTTTGACTTTTATTACACTCGCTGTATGTCAGTCCCTGCAGAAGCAGAAGCAGTTTTCCGACACAGAAACATTTATCTTGCTTTGCCCGGACTTCTGGTTTCCACCGGATGTTGGCCAACTTACAAATGAGCTGGGTATTCAATTTGTCTAAACTGATGCAAATATGATTGAACACATTTGTTTGCGCCAGAAATGGAAACGAATCCCCCGGCGGATGGCAGCCAATTTTCGGAAGGGTGGATAAGGGTCAGCAAGAGCTCTGGGGGAATCCTGTTCCCTAAAAAAAGCTACGTAATAAAAGATTATTTATTTTTAGAGTTTGCTAAGCAAAGTAAAGTAATACTCAGTAACTTTATTTAATGTTGTAAAGCTTTTATAGTCAGCGTTTCATCATTGAAATCATTTCTATTATTATTATTATTACAATTGATATCATTTGCAATTTAATTAAAAATTAATAGAGCTCTCCTTAGGCCGCGCGCACACTACGAGCTGAAAGCGGAGCTGACGGCTGACGGCTTATCCGCTCTCTGAAACAAACACACTACTTGTATGAGAGCGCGCACACTGAGAGCGGAGCTGAAAGCTGATAAGGTCAGCTCCGCTCCGCTCTGTTTGATCAACCAAACATGTTTGATTTTTTCAGCAGCTGACGCGAGCTGATTTTTTAGACTATTCTTTAAAAAATTGCCCTAATTAGCGCTTAAGTAAGAGAAATTTAAATTTCTGTCCAGTTATATAAAACAGTATGAAGAATTTTTTTAATATTTATTAAAATAAAAATATTGTCAACTTTCCGAGATACAGGGTGCCAAAGTACACTAAAAAAACGTACTTTGTCAACCATATTCTGGCGAACTGGGTGGGCCGATTTCGAAAATTTAAATGACATGATGATCTAAATAAATAGGTCATCGCAATAACTGTTTTTTTATATATGTTGAAGAATTAAAAAATGTTTGTTTTGCTTGAAAAACAATTAATTTCTCATAACAATTCAGCGTCAGCTTCAGCTCGCAGTGTGCGCGGCTGCAAAAAGCTCCGCTCGCTGATAAGCTTTCCGCGGATAAGCTCTCAGCCGTCAGCTCCGCTTTCAGCTCGTAGTGTGCGCGCGGCCTTAGCTCTGACAAATTCTCTAAAATACACTTCTTCAGATGGAATTTTGCATTATTTATGCCCCAATTTGCTATAGAATCCTAGCACAGCTTTATGAACTAAGGCCTGCTAAACTTTCAAGTGAATCAATTGTGCTTCCCTCATCATCAAAAATCTTTCAAACAGCAATTGCTTTTGCAGCAGAGCGAGTTTGCCACCTTAGTCAAACTTCGGAAACCCGAAAACTTTAACAGCCATCTGGCTGCCATTTATCGCAGTGGCATTGGCGATGCCGGGAAAAGTGTCTAATGCGCGCTTTGGCGACACTCTGCTGTATTTTTCCCCCTTTTTTT